GCACAGGAGGCTAAAACACCAGCGCGAAAACTTGAGGCTTTTTGGATAAATGCCAAAACCCTACAATGAATAGCAGGGAGGAATGCCCTGAGATATCACGTGATCTAGCCCCGCATCTCAGAATTCATTTTTGATGTGGGGTGTTGCAATCATCAACCATATGCGACTCTGAGCGGCTGTTTTTCCTCGGTGGAAGGCAGGCAAAAAAACGGCGGGTTTTTTCGAGAAGCCGATGACCATGTAATTATTTTTCAGATTTTCATCTTTCCGTTTATGCTGTTAAAGCGTTTGACCTAGTAAATTACACGTCGGTGTACCCTTCCAGGCTCTGAAGAAGACGATGCTGTCGAAACGTCAGGTACCATTGTGTTGTATCTGTTGTATACGTAAGGAAGTAAACGTGTGCTGAATAACAACATCGCGATTACTGTAAAAGAAAAGTAAACGGTAGCAATGGTGTTTGCACAAGTTTCAGTCCAATGTATCTAATCTCTTGTAAAGCGTGCGGAGACGAATACATTGAAGAAACAGGTAGACAAATTTGTGACCGTATAAAAGAGCACCTAGTCAATATATTTAAACTAAATATTCATATTTCATTAAACGGACATATGACACAGAAATATAAAGGAGAAGATTTTGGAGTAGATCTTGAAGTATTGTAGATTAATCTCAAGAATCCGGAAATAAAACGCAAGTAGAAATGCCTCGTTATCACACGTGTCTCACACACAACATGAGGCTGATATTTCAAGGTGGGAAGCACATTACGGTTCTATGTGAACTTTGTGCGGTTGGTCTCAATGCGAAATTGTCATTGTAAGACTAATAGAGAACTATGAGTGTGCGAAGAAGCTATTTTGTTTTGAGCACGGTTGAAATCTTGGTTCAGCACTTTCTCTGTTTGGTTATGGAGTCCTTGACTGGGTAGATGCAGGCAACTTGACCCTTCTAGGCTCTGAAAAGGCGAAATCCGCTGCAATTCCAATTTTTGTGAACAAGAAGTACATTAACAACCTCGTCTGCGTTCATCAATACAGTCACTGATCTAGGAATCTGCGCAATGATAAGGTAGACATGAGAAATTTGCTACTACCAAATGGGACAGGGGGATTAGTCGTAACGTACTGATACGATGGAGTGACACCTACATGCTTGCTAGTTCGTTCGAATTCACTTCAGTTCATCAACAACCACAAACTCCAAGACGTCCTCGTACGAAACCACTTCATCCAGTTAAATTTACAAATTTCCAGAAAAACTGATCAACGGCCGACTAAACTGATCTTCTGATCAACATATTTTCCTTTTCTTTGTTTTTCCACCAACTGATTCCTCCGCTCCCGAATCGACTAAAATAAAAAGAAACAAAAAAACGTGGGAAAACATAAGGCTACTCCTTGGCATTTATTTTAAATCTCTTTATGGAATGAGATAGAACGAACAACAGTAAATTAATGGAAACTATCCAGAAATCACAGAATATTCATGAACGCCTGAAAGCGTACACGCTGAGTATTTCACCGAGCAAAATAGACACAGCGAGATTCTGTGACGGAAATTCCGAACCTCTCACTGGTCATCGAATATTCTGAGGGAAGCACCACCACACTTGCCGGAAGGTGGTCGGCTTTGTGTTGTGCTACGAAGCTTCATCATATTTCGTCGGAAATTCCGTCGTTGAGTGATACGAAACCAGGAGTTATTCAATTGACCGATCTGAAATAGTCTTAAACCATACAGAAGGCAAAACGAAGTTCATGGAAACAAGTGGTCAATGACTCTTGAAAGAAAACTAATCTCAGATGTGGTACAGAAGAAAACCGAGAATCGTCAAATAAAAACTGAAGACGCAAGGAGAAGAAGGAAATAGGAGTTGTGTGGTGAGGAAGCTCATTCCCAGCCGTCTTGTCCCGTAAGGCATTTCTCACATGTTTTCAAATAGTCAGCTTTAGCATACGTTAACCGTGAATGTAACTAGACAGTTGGCCTAGGTAAGGCGAAATTTGTGGGACACGCAGTACCGTATTCCAATATCGGACAAATTAGATCAAAACTCGCGTTTTTACTTTCTGTATTGAATTTTGCATACAAGGAATGATAAAAAGGAGCACGAATGCCTATAACAATAAATAGTTTTTACATTCATCAAAGGAATAAGGGAACGCCCCGTCCAGAAAACCAAACGACATGACTTCATTTTGACACTGCTTCTGACGCCGCGACGAACATTCCCTGTAGAAACCCGCTTTTGTGTTCGAAAGGATCTTCATCGGAATCGCGTGACAAGGACTTCTTCGACGGCGAAATTGCTCGCCAACGAGCAGAACTCAAGCACCGCCAGTGACATCAGTTCTGGTAGAGCTTTGATGCACTTTCGCACCGATCGGTTGTAAAAATGACCTTCTTTCTGAAATGAAACCTCTCTGAGAAATGGGGAAGTAATCCCGAAACGGCTTTAACGATGGGTGCACCAACGCCAAAACCGTATGTTTTAGTCAGCGGTTTTGCACTGCCGTATTTCTGCACACGTGAGTTCTTTCACGAGTGTATCATCAAACGGTCTGCTAATCTTCAAGTGACTCGAAGGGAACTAACTGTCACCGTTGCTTTCCAGAACTACCCAGTTACTTTTCGCTACTCAAAGACAGAAAGAGCGTGTGTCTTCCTTTTATGATATTCGTAATAAATATTAACCGTCGAAAATAATGGTTTTTCTGTTGTGCGATTAACATTCTCATGCTACAAAGTCGCTGACAGTTCCTGTCTAGCGACTGTCGCTGGGAAGCATCACGTGACCACACGGTTTTCGACACTGTCGTTCCATGCACGTTCATGAACGTCAATCACCGATGTAATTTCAAACATCGGATTCTGTTCCTTAATTCTGTAAGAGAACCTAGGGAATGAAAAATCGTAGAACCCAAAAGATGAACTCCATAACCTGCGTTCTTTGACGTTTTTATTGCATCCTTAATGATAATTAACGACAGTCGTAGGGATTTTAGCTCATCGTTTCCTCCTGAGTAGTTCATTCCCTTTGGATTCAACTGAAGACAATTATTTCGTATGGAATATTGGAACTGACTGGAATTTCTTTCTTCTTGACTAATGTTGGCTGTTACAACAACGATGTCATCACTAAAGCGAAGATTGCACATGTTCCAACCTCTATCTTCAATCTCATGTTCTAAATTGTTCGAAGAACATTCTAAACGGTGAAAAGAAGTAGTTTTGGTGAGACTTCATCGCCTTGTCAGACGTTTCTTTTTGTTTTGATGTTGATTTCTTTGTAGAATTGTGAAATTCTGGCGATGTATTTCCTCTTTTCTCACGATCTATTCTTGTTTACGGAGCGGAGCAGGAAGAGTAGCTTTGCCGAATTTCCACAACTACTTTCTCAACAGAGCGGAATGTGTCCGTGGAATCGATGAAAATGAGACAAAGTGATATCTAGTATTCTCTCCCACTTCCGAGTATACTGTCAGTCTTGCTGAGGATAACTCGAGAAAACACTTAGAGATAACAGGTAGCGTTCTTATCATCTCCGTGGGGGCTGCGCGTGTTCTTCCTAACCTCGCTCTGTAGCGCCAGCTAATGCAGTTATTTCTCTCTTTGAAATCATCCTTTATAGTCTCTCTAAAGTCATCGGACAGTTGGAGCTAAATTAGTAGCCTGAAGTTTGTCTAACTTTAAGTTTGTGAGCGAATACCAAAAATTTCAGGAGATAGCCGGCTTCTTGGTGGCTTTCAAACCCTTAGCTTTCTTAGCGCCATAGTCAACTAACGCAACGGATGAGCGGCTAGTATTCTTCATGTTGCCTGCTACTGTTGCTTACCGAAAACATTGAAGGAATTAAACAAGTCTCAATGTATTGTTTCACGATTCCTTTCTGAACAATGGTGGCTTTTCTCCTTTATTCAAAGGATAAATCTTGCGTGAGAAAAAAAGGGGCAAGGCGGTAGGACGTGCATAAAATCAAAGGTAGGTCCGATGAGAGCTTTTGTAAAACGGCGTCACAGGTTAAGAAAAGCCTTGGACTGAAGAAATTCGGTTGTTTCCACCACAGTATTCTTTGAAGCAACTACCACGCCCAGCGTTTAAAAAGGAGCTCATGAAATTGTAAATACCTTCTCAAACTCTATCGTCTGATTAGAGACATTAGCTGTCCAAACAAATCGGATTTCCATGGCCAAAGTTGCGTTGGTTAGAACAGCAGCTTCACGACATCTTCCGCTGTTTATTTCGAAAACAATGACGACATAGGCGGCACCATAACCTCTCCGCCAGTCCAGTAATATTGTCATCGAATTTCTTGACTTTGCTACCAAGCGGACGACAAAAGAAAACTAGCGTTCCTAGATTGTAACTAGGATTTACTACACAGTCGTACCAGATTTATGCAGTGTTGAATCGGACTACGTTTAGAGCAGTTTCTGTATATTTTCCAACGAAGTTTTTGCTATAGTGAACAATTGTAATGCGCAGTGTGAAGTTGATACTTCAACAGAGCTATCAAGCTGAGAAACAGTTTGGTATTTCCACCAATTTCCCCAAAATTTAAGAACAAAAGCCGTCGTCATGGAGTAAGCCTAGTCGTAGGGCAGTACACTATCTTTGAAGCATAGATGATTCTCTGTCCAGATATGTGAGTGTCCTCAGTATATCCAAAAAAGGAAACCTTGAGTTGACGACTCCGAACAAAAGATAACATGGCACTAGTTCTCGTGTTGGAGTTTTTATCTTCATCGAATTGTTCTGCCTGAAGGTTTTTTTACGTTCTCGGTTGATTTCTGAATAAATGCGAGCTCAGTAGGTCTTAAGTGGCGTTGTAAATGTAGGCTGCCCTAAACGAATTTATGGTAATTTTCCTGATAAATGAAAAAAGTACCAGTAAGCCATATTCTCTTAAAACGCACAATACTGATAAGCTTTGTTCATGAAGCTAAGATAAAGCTATGAAGCTTGAATAATGGAGCAAACATAAATTAGATATGCCGTCAATGCATCAGATTGCTAACGATAAATACTCGTACCGTAATCTTCCAATCCTGATGAGCGCCTTGATTATGACACTTCAGCAGTGTGAGTCCTTTCAATGAGTCCAGACAAAGACGGGAAGAGCCCATCGGTCGAAATTCGTTCTTAAAGTGTCAGAAGTATTGCTACGACAAGATAACGGTAGATTACCGAAGACTACTACAGGCTGCAAGAAATGGTCTAGTACCAGTCAAAAGTACTAGTTGACGTTCTTGTGAATTGACAATACTCTAAATAGCTTTGACAGAGAGCTACTGTGAATGACCTACTGTGAATTGTTGTACCACCTACATTATCGTTCCATCGCCATTGTTGGTTTCGTTTGGCATGACAAATCCTCATTTCGACCCGACTTCCTTTTGCTATAAGACCCATTGGTGACTCCTCGGCAGTAAGGCAAAAACTAGTGTTGGCCAATCGGATCTGAATTTTTCGAATAATTATGAAATAATGGCTTTGAGAAGAGCTAAAAGTAATGCTTAAAAGGATTGTGGCGGAAACAATAACTAGTAAGTGTTATTACATACGTCACAGATGAGTTCTCCCTATCAACTCCTGAATAGCTTCAGCTAAGCTCATAGTTGAGTTACTACAGGTTGAACAACCGCAATAAAGATCCTGCCTGGCAAAGATCGATAGAAATAGCTGAGAGACATGCGAAACGAAGGACCCGCATGGTGTGGTGGTGAATGCGTTACTCCCCGGAAAGGAAAATAGTGCGTTCGTTCCCCACCATATACACCTGCGGTCCAGAGTTTTGCAAATATCTCAGCAACGTTGTGGTTGTATTTCGCTTAGTACCCTGCCGCGAAATTATAGTAGGCAGAAAATAAAAAGGTGTAACAAACCGAAATAAAGTTTTTATTTTATCACCTTGACTATGTTTCTGATAAACCAGTTACTTTACTAGTACACTACAACACTTTGCTGCTCATATGCCGTTCATTAAAATAGACTAATAGGTATCCATCCAAGTAAACTCGCAATGAAATTGTATAAATTATGCTGTCATCAATAAATCAGCCGAATAATCACAGGAACAACAGCTATCGACGATTCCTAGGCGAAACGGAGTCTGTCAACCTTTTATTATTCAAAAGCTCTAAAGCAGTGTAGCAAGCACCTCGCTGTTCGAGATAAACGAAGACCATTACCACTTTCGCATGACACCCTAAAGTTTGTCCTGTGTTTAGTGAAAGGACAGGCACAAGTATCTCGCAGCGGTCTCATCACGATGGGTTGAGTATACTCGCTGAATATTTGTAGGAAGCGACCCTGACTCATTCCCAAATATTTCCTCCCAATCATTTATTTGCTTTCGGTTGCATCGACGTGTAGTATAGAATGCGTATAAACAGAAGTATACCCATGCTAATATACCTGGATGTTATAACGTACACACGAAAGGCATCAGTAAACCTGGCTTAGTATAGAGATGAAACCCATCGCCAAACACTAGTAGTTTCCATTCGTTCCGGACACACATCTGAGTTGCCTGCTATGTTCTGTCCGTAGAACCGAAACAAGAATGATAGCATGAATCGTTTAGGATCTTCTTAAGGAGTTCGACTACAAAGTTGGTGGTCGAACCCAGCTGTTAACAACTCGGGTAAATCGGTCGACTGCGGATCAGAAACATTACGGTTCCGGCTCATTTGAAGTCTGGCAACCTTTTATGCTGCGATATACTTCATCTTAGATCGTCCTTGTAGTTCGCAACTCGGCATTCCCTCTCATCTGTGCCAAATAGAATACTCATCTAGTCTCGCCCTCTCCATAACGCATTGCTGTAAAAGAATGAATAAATCATTGACGATGATCAATCCGCAAGGGATTCTCTATGCATACGACTTCGTTAAACATCGTAGAGGTTAGAGAATCTCGCGTATGCAGTAATTTCCAATGTCCTACTAACGTGTCACGTCAGTGCTTTCATCGCTCCAAACAAAGATAAAAGATAAAGGATAAGAAGCGCTTGACGTTGACCAATCCTTGAGCCATGCGCCGTGCATCCGACTTTATCAAGTGCCGAAGAGGTGGTCGAATAAATATTTGACCTAAAGAATGACTTGCGCCGACCTACCTATGTATCCCTTCAGTGTTTTCTATCCTCCAACAGAAGTCTAGTACCAAATTGGGAGCAAAGGAGCGATGAAAAACTTGCTGAGACCGGAGTGTGGTACCGAATCAGTGACCGCGTATGTACTGCATGGCACTTTTAATCAGCGGACCACATGCAACGCAGAATGGAATTCTTTGTCTCATTATAAGATTCTAGAAAATCCAGCGTCTAAAGGATTATAGCGGTTTCTATTCAAAAATGATTATAAAATTAAACCTGGTACTTTTTTCCATTTATGAATGGTTTTTGGATAATATCCGAACTCATTGGAATGTTGTTCGGTAGAAGTTCCGGATAGACGTTTTCGAGGTACCTAAAGGAGGGTTAAAAGCCGACTACTATTACAACTACAACAACAACAGCAACTAGGAATTACTTTTTCGCCGAGCTACCATACTCTAAAAGTAAAGTCTAACACGATTTACACCAAAACTATGACTGATAAGATACGGTAGGAATGTCGCAATATGTGGAACAAATTAGGTGACAAAGGGTCAAAGTGAGCTCGGATTTATTTCCGATATTAGTAGAAGTAAGAAAAAAGACAAAACGCAAAAAAAAAGACACGGCGTAGTAATTTTAGTCCTTCCCTACTCATCTCGTTCATCACTATCAAAGTGGGTTGCAACGAAGAAAAGAAAAATCGCTAGTGAGGCAAAAGTAACTGAAATAAAATCACACCACTCGGAAGCAGAATCAGGAACAAGGTGGAACAGACGTCACTAACCATCTGAATGGTTTACAATGCAAGTTCTCCTTCAGCTTCAACCGATCAGAAATATCTCCGTAGTCGGTGTTCGACTCCAAATAAGGACGAGATTTGAAGAATTCTGGCTACAAACGTGCTCATGTTGCTCTCTTATGTCAGTACGTACAGAGTTAACACGATAATCCAACATACAAGATATTCGTCGAGCCATACTCGAGCCGCCCTTAGTGAGTTCTTGCTAATGGAGTCGGACTCCAATCCATATGGACGCTTTTTCCTGAAAACCCAAAGAAAATAATGCACAGCCAACTGCGTTAAATATATGGATCGAAGAAGAGCACATTCACTCAGAGAAAGGTTGTTTACAAGTGTAACTGCAAAATAATGATTTAAAAAACTAGAAACCTGAAGATATGGCCAACTCGACTACATGGAATGATCTCGAGTTCACCGCCACACAACCAAATCTAAGACGAGCGAAAATTATAAAAGGTTTCGAGACGTCTTCCTCAACGTTATTCTTTCTTCATTTATTTTCACTGGTCTCCTTTTCTCGATCCTACTGTATATTACTGACTAGAGAATGTAGCAACAAGTAAATTATTTTTAAAAAAGAATAGAAGAAAAAGGATGAAAGAAGACGAAGGGAACCCACTCGGAACGATATTTCCACATTCTCAGCTCCCCAAACATCCATCCCTTCGTCATAGGCGCCAATCTTGAAGAAGTATGTCCTATCGATGGCAAACAAGCCTCCAGCCATCGTAGCTGATTTCAGCGGACGTATGTAATTCAACGGATCGATGAAGTATGTATGTAGTGGATAATCCCACTGTAAAAAAAAGTAATAGTAACGAATAAATAGGCTAATCGTTCCTTTCATCCAAACCTAAATTATTTCAACTTCAATTTATTATTTACTGTCTACTTTTTTTAATGGCAGGGTATATATTGCGAAATATAACTTCAATGATGCTGAGATATTTGCAAAACTCCGGACCGCAGGTGTTTGCGGTGGGGAACGAACGCGCTATTGTACTTTCCGAGAATTAACGCGTTCACCACCACACCATGCGGGTCTTTATTAATATCTCAGCATCAGTGAAAGTTATATTTCGCAATATATACCCTGCCATTAAAAGAGTAGGCAGTAAATAATAAGTTGAAATTGTGACTATAACTACAGCCTCAGCTTAACAGAGTTAGTTGCCGATTTGGGCCGCCAGAACAATCCCGCTGACGGGTGATTGCAAACGGCAGAAATCGATAGAACTAGCTGAGAGACAGGCGAAACGAAGGACCCGCATGGTGTGGTGGTGAACGCGTAACACCCTGGAAAGGACAATAGCGCGTTCGTTCCCCACCACAGACACCTGCGGTCGAGAATTTTCTAAACATCTCAGCATCATTGAAAACTAAATTATTTCATTATCTCAAGGAAAAGTAGAAAAGTGAAGGACAGTTTCTACAGTAACCACAACATTTTCCCAAAATTCAGAAGAAAGTCTGAATTTTCACTCTTCCCATGTATAAATAAGCAACAAAATAGTAGAACGCAATAATGCAAGAAATTAACAGATAATGGATAATGAAGGGCATGTGTAGTGCAATAGTTAGAGGTGTCTTGCAATACACAAAGGGTAGGTCATTGGTTCGAACACGTGTCCAGAGCTCATTATGCTCTTCATCCCTCCTGGAGGCGCTGGTGTTGCGCAGTGGTCGGAGGCGCGCTGCAACACACACAAGGAAACGATCCTCGCGCCCGTGGCTCACCAAGCCTTCCATGTTTCCGGAGTCAGAAAATTGGTACAAAACTTGTCCAGGGGATAGCAGCACTGGTTCGATACATCGATAGGCCACCCCGAGTCATTTCAAAGGCCAAATATGCATTCAGTCACCTCCGACGATGCTTAGCGAAGTCGAATGCATGGCGCATCCCTCGGCGGTTGATCAACACCGAGAGCTTTACTCGTTATCCCTCCGAGGCCTACAAATCGGCACTTTTCTGTGGGAGGATCAATATTTTGAGTTGATACATTGATAGGCCACTCCATGTCACTGTTTGGGCCAGGTAAGTAAGTACTTCAAAACATATAAGAAGTAGCAAAATTTTCCTGCTGCAGTTGTGATCGAAGTCGACTAGCGTTCTTATGTAGGAAAGGTCCATTTCTTAGTTAACAAGCTCAGATAGAATGACGTTTATTAGTCGTTGTCAAACGCTTTCTCATAGCATTTTGTTATGGGGGCTGTACAGACTCTCGACGGAAATCTCGTACTCAAGTTCGGAACAATTTAACCGTGGTGTTGTCTTGTAAGAAGAAAGTCCTTACCGTAAATGCAACCACAGACAGAAAATCTGTGGTGCTTCTTCTCTAGCGGAGAATTTACGTCTTCAAAGCGAAAATCACTTGGGCACAAACTTTCCCATTTCTATTAATTCGACAGAATAAAATACGTGGTGGAGAGACTGCTTATTTACTTGAACTGCAACTGAAACAGCATTTTTTAAACTGATCTGCTTGTTAAGCAAGGATTCTTGGTGGTGGTGGAAACGATACACAAACTTTTTCAAGAACATGCGGATTCTGCTCAAGGGTGGACCTCTGGTAGACCATTTGTTGTAAATTATGTCTTTTTGAATTTATTATTCACGGAGAAGAGTTTTCAATTCCTATTTTGGCTTCAAAACTCCTTATCCTGTATTCACGTCTGAAAATTCGCCTCGCTATGTCATTCTCGATCGATCGGCTTGCGATAAATATCACCGTTCACGGAAATGTTCCTTACACGAATACTAAAGGCCTCTCATTTAAGTGCCGTAAGTCGGCCTTCGGGGAGGGGGTAGCGCACTAGTTGCTGATGCAGTCTATCGGGAAGCATGGTGTTGGTTCGATCTGCTACAAAATGTTGTCCTCAGAACAACGTGGAAAAGCCTTACTCGGCTATCTCCAAGACTGGAAGGAGAATCGGACCCAACAACATTCTACGACACTCGTTAAGAAGTAAAAAAGACGAAATCCTCAACCAGCTGCCGAAACAACTCGCGATGTGTTCGTAGACCATTGCGGATGCTGGATGCGAGAAAACGGATCGAGAATAAGAAGTGTTGGGATACACACAGTAGATGTGATGACGAGTAGCGATCATACGAAACTTTATGCAACTTCTAACCTTAAAACAGTGTGATGGTTAGGATCAAAAAAGACTCTTCTACCTTTTAGTTAAACGACAAGAAGAAAACTACATGGTATGGCCAGTTCGAATGAAGAGCTATGCAACTACTTTGACAAAACAAGCATAAATTCAAATCCTTCTTTCGGTACCTAAAAAATTATAAAAGAAAGCTCTTCTTCGAGGAAGTGTGTGACGAGGAAAAATAAATAATGTGTTTTGATATTTTATTTTTCCAACCTTGAATGTGAGACCCCAGTTGAGGCCACCTTTGCACACTGGTGATTCGACGTACTTCATCGTATCCAAATCGATAACGTCGATGATTGGACAGACTACCCTGGAAGCGAAATATCATCATATATAATCAAGCAAAAACCTAGCAAAACAAATCCATGGGTAGAGCTGTAAATATAAAATAAAAAAATTGTTCCCAGAACCGACTTTCTATTAACCTCGGCATTGGATTATAGAGGCAACGTTTTCGTTTCCAGCAATCGCGAGGTTATACAGCATACGTTTGCTTCCGTACAAAAGCACATACAATACAACAGCAGCTGACGTTTCAGATAGCCCTCTTCACGTATCAATGTACCCCTCCAGGCTCTGAACGAGGCGATACTACCGAAAGGTCAGCTACTACTGTATTGCATGTTTTTGTATGGAAGTAAACGTATGCTGTATAAAAACCTCGCGATTGTTGAAAAAGAAAACGGCCCATGTAAAACGAATGATCTTTGCAAATGGAGGCTAAATTCAAAAAAAACGGTTATGTACCTGTTTGGTTTTTCCCTTATTCGTTCAAGAAGCGGTTGTAACCAGTTTTGATTCACTTCGCAGTGACTGTCAAGGAATACCTTAAAAAATCTAAAAAATGAAAAGAAAGCCTGGAAACACTTTAAACCGATGGGAAATTTCTTCCTCGATACGAGAGATCATTTTATTCGTTGATATCAGACCATCAAAGCTTCTCAAACACCAACCAACACTTCACCACGAGCTTTACGTGCTCCGAAAACCTTTGCTCGGATAAGTCCCAGATTCGATGGAGTGTGTAAGAACTTTACCATATTCCATTGTGGATGTTTTCGTTGATAATCAGCCGCCTGTAGTGATGCTTCAGCTGAAAAATACACATTCCACTTCGAGTAGAGTGATTCCCGATTCTTCTACATTTGCTCGTTGACAGAATGCTTTCTCTTAGTAATATAGCTAAACACTATAAATTAACACGAAACTATTTTCATTTGAAACCGTGCTTCTTCTACCCATGTAGTTGTTTAAAATAAACCTTTCATCTACATTAGCTTTTTGTTCTGATTGATTAAAACTGTTCTGCTATTCGCTTTGTGCTAGCTAACATAATGCCGACTGATGCACGGTGGATTATCCGTTGGAACACCAACTATTATCAACGATAGTCATATCAACAACAACTGCCCTGCATGAAAGGACACTGCCGGGTGTGCATACCTAGTTCGTGCCGTGTTCACTGAAGAAGATCCCCTTTCGGTATGACAACGAAGACGCCACATCGAGATCACCAACAACTGTGGACCACCGACACGGATCATTGGTTCTGATGAAGACGAAGACGTCGAGATGTCAGCCGAGTAAATAAGTTTATCAACCTCGTGTCAGGTAAACAAATTAAATACAAGTTGACTACAACAACTTTTATACGCCTTTTCGTACACAAACCTCTTTGTTCACCTTATTTCCATTGTTCTCATAATATAGTAGTATACGGCGGCATTCTGGATTCTATGTAGATGGCTATGCAGTTTTAAAATAATGCAATCCAGTTATTTTAATTTATTTACCAATGTGACCCTTCTTTACGTATATTGTGTAGGTAGTTGCACACCTTTCATCCCATCTTCCAACTTCCATATAGGTTCCGCTGCCCTTTGAAAACTTCTTCGTGAAAGTCGTTGACTGCTAGTCAAATAGATTCACCTCGAAGTCCCTGGACATTGCCTTTTTCGAACGCTTCCTGGTATTAAACAGTGACACTCCCCAGCTAATGTTAATCAGAAGGAGAAATTCGGTTAACAAAACAAAAATTTTGGTCCAGATTGTTCAGCTTACATGAAGTTGTTATAAAATCGGCTAACGTTTCGACGTCTTCGCCTTCATCAGAGCCGATGATCAGATTCGGTGGTCCACAGTTGTTCGTCTTCTCGATGTGTCGTCTTCGTCTTCGTATCGACTCGAATGTTCTCAGTGGAGTATGGCTCAAATGAAGTAACCTCAAATGACAGCGCTCTTTTGTAAGCGACGGCTGTTAACTGATTGTCTCAACAACCCATCTCGTAGTAGTAGGTACTAGAATGGCTACCACACAGAGAAATAATAATACTTTACTAAACCGACTCCTAAAAATTTTGGATCGATTTTTACCTAATGTCAAAATAATTAATCAGTATCCTGACTCATTGATAAACGGTAGAAGTCTTTCTTGCGATTGACATCTCTACGGAGTCTCACCATCTTCAGTATCTACTTGAGTTAAAACTCTTTAGCGGTTTCAATAATGGAAATAATGCCGCTGAAATCTCAGCTACCTAATCAATTTGTCAATCCGATGTTATCCTATCAATAAACCGAGAAATTACTGTAGCTAGGGTTGATAACCTATACTAACACGTTCCCCCAAAAAACCTTGCAGATCACTAGAAAAAATCTTAGAAATCTTAGTATATAATGAAGAACCGAAGAAAGTGGACATCAAAAACCGTGCAGGACGAGCTAGAGGCATTTTTTGCAATAACGAAATCTTTGTTTATCTGAAATACAATCACCAGAATGCTGAGATATGAGTAAAACTCGGTACCTCAGCTGCACTTTGAACCAGTGATCAACCTTTTCGGAGGCTTACGTGCTATCCACACACCAACCGAGGCCTTAGGTGGACAGCACGCGTGTTCCCGAAAGAGTAGACGCGGGTCTGAAGCACAAAGAGGTTCCGAGTTTTGCTCATATCCTATCACACTTGTTGTATTTCACATAGTATGCTGTCATGAAAAAAGGAGAGACAGTGAATAAAAGTTAAAACATTGTATTTCGTCCTTTCCTTCTTCTTCCTTGCAAAGCAACTGTATTCATATTGATGGTCATCAAAGCACAAATAATTTTATCCGAAAGTTCTAATGGTTGAAGACAAACCTAAAGTGCAAGCCTGAAATGTTCTGATGTTTTCTTCTCGGTGACCTTACGAACATGAAACTGAAGAAGAAATGTTTTGAACTCTCAAAAAACATTCAACGCACGCCATTCACTGCCATCATCGACCAAAAGGATCTCTTGTATTAATTCCAGTGGTGTTCGATCGACAATCGAATTTATCATACGAATGAGCACCGACGGTGATTCGTTGAAATAGCAAATGACAATGCTGGCCTTAGGAAGTGATGTCATGAACGAGTGAGGGCATCTGCAAATGTGGACATCATTTGTCGTTGTCGTCAATTTCATAACTGCTAACCGGTAATGAATCGCTGACAATATGTGATGTGTCACTGCAAAAGTGATAGCAACAGCAACAGCAACAGCAACGGCGACTGTGGCAGCATTAGGAATAATAATAGCAAAAATCATAATGTACACCAACAGCAGTGCTAATCGTAACAATAAGAGCAACAGTAATAGCATAGCAACAACAACAACGACAACAGCACAAAAAACAGTAGTAGCAGCAGCACAGAAAAGCAACAGTCATAACAGTAGCAACGTTGACAGCAACAGAATTAGCAACTGCAACGAGTATTACTACTACTGCTACTACTACTATATTGTATTGTTATTAGATATTACTATAATTATTGCTGTTATTATTATTGTTATTACTTGATCCTCCCAACGGTTTACCGCCTCATCGTGGCTGGGAGATGTTTCTGGGTGTCGGACTGCGATGTACAGCGGGGGATTCGTCCACCCGGTAGAGTCTCCCAAGCAGAGAAGGAGTCCGGCGTTTCCATTAGGTAGCCTAGCTAAGAGTAAACCAATACCAAGATCCACCACCGTCCTGGTATCAAAGTCGCATGGTGGTGAATCTCCCTCTGATCCACAAGGGCTGCGACTGCCCGTGATGGTGAAGACCTGGTGCAGACTTTGGCCAGGCTGACCTCGGGACTCCAGGAAACCACAATGGCTTAAGCAGAAAATCTCCGAAAAATGGAGATTATGCTGGGGCCCGCACAACCAGTGAGGACGGGCCATTCAAGTATAAAGCGAGTAAGTATTATTACTAGATCTACAACCTAAACAGCAATTCACGAAATCTCAAGATTATCGAAGACAGGACGAGATGAAACATGATAGCCTTTAGCAATTTCTAATTCAAAAATACGTCGTGTTCTCAATACGTAAATTTATGAAAATTGACACCGTTTAAATTTAAACCCATAAACTTATGCTGTCCCGCCACTCGCCAAAGATGCTCAACACGGCTTACATAATGAAAACCTCACTGTAGATTCTATTAAACGGTTGATCTCAAATGATATCATATCCCAGGAAAAACATAACTGTTCCAAGCGTGCAGAAGAATTCAAGAAATCAAATTCTAGCGATAGATTTTTCGAAATAATCTGAAGAAGAAGCTACCGACGTGTTGTTTTGGCGTCACCTTGAAAACACTTCAAGATTTAAAACAAAAATCAACAAAAAATAAAACAAAATAGTCTCTTTTCACGACAGAATACGCTGTGAAATATAACTATAATGATGCTGAGAAAGAATAGGCAGCAAATAAAAAGTGATTACATTGTGACTTATATTACAGCTTCAACTTAACTGGATTCAATGCCGATTTGTGCTCCCCAGATCAATCCCGCTGACATGTGATTGATGATAGCATCTGAAGGTCAATAAAACGGCACACAGGGCCGAACCGAAGGACTCGCATATGTGCTAGTTAACGTGTTAGCCACCGGAAGGGTAGTAACGTTCGATCCCCACCACAGACATCTGCGGTCCGAAGTTTTACAAATTCCTCAGCATAATTATAGCTATATTTCACAGCACACCCTACTTTGACGTTGTTTGGAGGCGCCACTGCGACACGCACGAGGAATCGATCCCCGCGCCTTTGGCCCACCAAGCCTTCCATTCCTTCGGGGTCGCCAATTGGTGCCGGACTTGTCTGGGAGGATAGCAGCACTGGTTCTATACATCGGTAGGGCACCGCGAGTCATTGTAAAGGCCAGATTCAATCACCTCCAACGATATTTGATGAAGTCGAATGCATGACACATCCCTCAGGGACGAATGCGATATGCATTCTTCATTGAGCATCGTTAAAGATGACTGACTGCATATCTGGCCTTTACAATGACTCGCGGTGGCCTACCGATGTATCGAGACAGTGCTGCTAAACTACCGGACAAGTCTGGTACCGATTTGCCTACTCCGGAGGTATGGAATGCTTGGTGAGCCTGGGGCGCAGGACAGATTCCATACGTATTGTAGGGCGCCTTTGACCACTGCGCCACACGTGCCCCTTAATAATCAATAATAATAGCAATAATAATACTATCGTCCGATATGTCTGTTGAGTGTGCTCTACAAGCTCTTCACGAAGATTATCCTGTCGAGCATATCAAGGACATTAGATGAGGCGCAACCAGTTGAGCAAGCAGGATTTCAACAGGTACTGCTTCATGGACTACAACCAGACCGTGCCCATTGTCAATGAAATTTGTCGGGAATATCACTCCCCTATTCCTGACTTTTCTCGATTAGGAAAAAACGTTTAACAGTGTTGAAACGAATGCATTCCTATTAGTGCCTTTCGACCGAAGAGTGGACCCGTCCTACACAACGACTCTGTTTGACTGTTACCCGAACTACTCTACGAAAATACATCTTTTCCACCGACTTCTTACCATACCCATGAGAAAAAAGGTTCCACAATTCAACACAATATGGCCTAAGCTGCTTAGTGGTGCATTGCAGTGGATAGTGAAGTCATTCGGTAGAAATCAGAAAGGTATACGCATTGATGGAATATTTTTATCAAACCTTCGTTTCGTCGATATCATCATCTTCTCAATAAGTACCAATGGAGCAGAGACGATGATCAATGAGTTCGGCGAAGCGGGAAAAAAAGCTCGGATGGCGCATAAACCGAAGAAGACCCAATTAATGAAAACCCCACCGTGAAAAGGCGAAGAGATCAAATTTTACAGTTCTCTGATTGCTAAGACCACCTCGTACGTGTACCTTGGACGTTCATTTACACGGAGAACAACATGAAGGAGGAATTAAGCAGTAGACGGAAAGCAGCTTGACTAGCATTCGAGGCTCTCGAAACGCCGCCGAGCGACTAAAGGACCCAAAACTTCGTGCTCACCTTTTCGATTCAATAGTCCTTTCATTATGCAGCAAAATTGCCTATTACTCCAAACAGGTGGTCAAGAAATCTGCGCACCACTCACATAGCGCTTGAACTACGTCTCTTGAAATACAGCCGGCAAGCACAACATCTAACCAGAATGTGAAGCTTCTTCGATCTTCGAAGTATATCCCATCTTCGAGATCCACGATAATAAACATCGACAACGAAACCTCGATGGGCCAACTGATCATATAATGAGAAGTAGCGACCCCTTGGACGATCATCTACACGTTGGACGGGCGTGTTTATAACTAAAGCAAATCACTGGCACTTACAGATGCAGTTGTTTTACAGGTCACGGTATAAAACTCGCACCCGCCACCATATTCGAATGAAACCATCACCACGGGCAACGATTACGAGGCAAAGAAACGAATGGAAATGTGCTCGGCTCTGCACAACTCATGAAGACTTTCTATCCATGTATCCAAGAAAGTGAATAAGTAAACAATACTAATAATATTAATAACAACAGTAATAATAATAAGACATATCGATCCGAATACAAACGTACTGACGTGTTCGTTCACCTTCGTTTATCACGATAAAGTGAAGAATTTCCACACAAATTCATAACAGGCCAAAACTGGTAAAAACACGTCGTTAGTGAGTAAGAATGAGGCCCTAACAACCTTGCGGTGAAGTTGAAAACATGGGACTTAATTATCATACAGTCGTATCTTTTGTAAAACGTTTTCAATTTTTCGTAGTATTACTGTAATTGATCCATATTTGGGAGATTCTCGCCGTCAGTAGTCGCGTCGCGAACCCCACTCAGCAAACAAAGGACTGCGACGATCGGATGAAGTGGTCTGATCGGATAAGGTGCTAGATGAAGAGAAGAATAAAAAAAACGAAAACGAAACAGAGAATATAACAGGATCAATTGGAAACGAAACGAAAGACTAGTGATACTGGTGATACGATTTCATTGTTGGTGATTGTCGACTGTTTACATATGTTGCGGCTCATGATCAGGTCAGTGACTAGTGTAAAAATTCGACTTCTACATTACTGAAGATTCTATTGAATGAAAAAACTAATTCATTATCTCTAAATATGACGATCTTTAATCTAATAAATCTTTACAATACACTAGTATTTCTTCGTATTGTTGTTGAACAAACGCTAGGTGTTATTTCATTCTTTATTCACGAACCAGCTGACGTTTCGGCGGATTTTGCCTTCCCCAGAGTCGCTTTTTATGAGTCTTCCACTGAGCATGTCGCGTGGAGACCAACCTCACAGAATTCACATGGAAGCGTAATGTTTTAATGTTTCACATTAAGCATAGTTGCTATCCTCCCAGACAACTCTGGTACCAGTTTGGCGACCCCGGAGGAACACAAGAGTTGGTGAGCTTGAAGCGCGGGAATCTGTATTGCAGGGCGCCTCCAACCACTGCACTACACACGCCCTTCTTGTGTAATTATAAAATTTTTCATTTTATTCACTTTATTATTTGGTTTACCTTATCCACCGCTATTTTCATTTTTTTTTTGTCATTTCTATTCACCCGCTATTTATTTAAACGTTTATTTCAATTTGTTTTACTACTCAATTTTGTTTATTTTTTGCAGTCGGGACCTCCCAAAAATGAAAAAGCAAAAACAAAAGATCCATTATGAAGATGCCACCGAGGAGAAATAATCCTTTAGAACCACATTTCTAAAGTGTTGCGAAATATAACTTCAATGACGCTGAGATATTTAATATTTGCAAAACTCCAGACCGCAGGTGTCTGAGTGAGGCGAAACGAAGGACCCGCATCGTGTGGTGGTGAACGCGTTACTCCCCGGAAAGGACAATAGCACGTTCATTCCTCACCGCGTTCACCACCACACCATGCGGGTCCTTCGTTTCGCCTCTCTTAGACACCTGCGGTTCGGAGTTCTGCAAATATCTCAACATCATTGAAGTTATATTTCGCAACATACCCTGCCATTAAAAAGAGTAGGCAGTAAATAATAAGTTAAGATTGCAATTATGACTACAGCCTCAGCTTAACTGGGTTCGTTACCGATTTGGGCTCCTCAGATCAATCCCGCTGACGGGTGATTGCTGACGGCAGAGATCGATGGAACTAGCTGAGAGACAGGCAAAACGAAGGGCCCTCATGGTGTGGTGGTGACCGCTTTCCTCCCCAAAAATAGTAATAACGCGTTCATTCCCCACCGCAGACACCTGCAGTCCGGAGTTTTGCAAATATCTCAGCATCAATGAAGTTATATTTCGAAACTGTTGATAAAAAATCTCATGCAAAACTCTCTCTTATATACTCATATTTATATATTCATATTCTTCCATATCTATGTTTCCACAAGATTAAGTCGAAATGTCAAATACTAACCTACATTTTCTGGCTACTGACGGGTAGAGCGCAATGATTAGAGGTGTCCTGTAATACACACTGGATCCACCGCTTATTCGAGCCAGCGTACCCATTGCTAGGCCACCGTAAACTACTGCACGAGCCAGATATGCATTCATCCACCGCTACGATACTCTGAATAGACTCCAATGCATGGCGCTCCCTCAGGATTTGATCGACGTCGGACGCTTTATCTATTTTCACGCTTTATTTACTGCTAAAATCTCCATTCATCCCTAAGGGATATCGGAGATGTTGAATGTTCCTAACATGTACGATAGACACGACCACTATAACATTTCTGCTATGAAGAAGCCCCTAATTCGTATTGTTAATAGCAATGATCATAAAAAGGGGTTTACACTTCGTTAAACTTCAGCACATAAATGTTGAACTGCTCCGCTTGAATAACCGTGCTAGGAGATAAACCTCCAGTAGAACGAAATTAAATGTTAAAGAAAATCCTGAGGCGCGATTAAGCAGGAAATCATCCAGTGATTTCTATAGAACAACATTCGATTCTTATTCTAACATTTTTGGGTGACCTTTTGTAGGGAGGTATTGCACCCGTCTGGTTTCTCGTCATAAAAGTTATGTTTATAGGGTAGACAGACATACGTTATACCTGTTACATAAGTACAAAGTATTAAGCCAAAAAAAATCTGATTAAGGGATAATGAACAAAGCGCTCGGCGTTAAACATTTCCTTTGTGAGGCATCATGCAATCGATTACACTCGTAGCAATTGACTGCATATTTTAAATATATAATGACTTGTAGTGTTTTGTCAATGTTTCAAGTTATGTGGGACTTGGTTGGTGCGGGTCGCACAACCGAATAGGTGTGTATTGTAGAAGAGCACCACTGCACTACACGCGCTTGGTTTCTTAACAGATTCTCAACAACCGCGTAAGAATGGGTTTTGGTATGAAACAAAACCAAGCAATAAAAAGTCGTAAATCCAACTTTGGTTGTAAATCCTATTCAGTTCGTTATCTAATCAGCATACCTTTTTTATTCGATACTAAAATAACTTGAAAACAACAATCAGACTATGTCCATCCAAGGAAGGACTTGTTCTACAAGACTTTTTCCTAAAACATCAAGTATTCTATTGAAACATTTCTCTTCTATATAAATGAGAAGATACTTTGACAAAAGTCACAAAATACACGGTGTAGGAGAATTCTTTGAAGATGCAGAAGGCAACCAAATGAAAAAAAATTACTGGGAAAAACAGAGAAAAAAAACACAGAATGCTAAGAGAAAAGTAAAAGGTAAGAGATTGGAAAGTTTGACACCACCACTGAACTATGTGACGGAAGCAGTGAAACCAACAGATAAGACGCACACAAAGACTGTACGTCGTGGAAAACAAGAGCTTTCAAACGATCATTGAAAGCCGAGAAACGTCGCAACTCAAAACGAAAACAAATCGAACGACGTAGTGAGAAAAAACACAAACCCAGAAGAGGGGGTTTGACAATCAGAACGAAAACAACTCACTGTGAATTTCGCGTATCAGGAATCTTTCGTCGATAACCGATTCGATCACTAAGCAGACCGTTGAACTGATATTTTTCGAATAAAATCTTCTTCTGTTCCTGAAAGTTGATTATTAGCACCTAATCGAATAACAATGACAGAAAAAATCGTCGTTATTTTCTCCATAAAGTCTTTTGTTCTTTGCAGTTTCGGTAACACATAAATGCTTGTAATGGCGTAGAAACGGCAGTAATCATGGGAATGACCTAATGGGAAAGGTGACGCTAAGCGTGGGAAAGGTTTCGCCGTAGTTTTCGGCTTTCCTTGCCGCAAAGCCATATCGTTAGATTTTATAGCGTTTTAATATTGTAAAAAGGTCGCTGTTTGATAAGTCCATAGTCGTTGAATTTTTAAAGCATTCAGTGGAGTTCACTGATTTCACACAAATGAAGTTGCTTGGATGGAAATCGACTTGTTAGATCGTCTTCAAGCAGTTACTCTAATAGAAAATTCGCTGCCGTTGTAAAAATCGCTCTCGCGCTGGAAGAATCGGAATCATGACAGACCACGCTTCGTTCTGATCCTCAAGTGCTTGCGACTAATTATGGTAAATACATGGTATTGACCCTAGTCTGATTCCCAGCTTCCTTAGGATTCACCACAAGAACTGGCGACTTATTGAGATGAGAAACTCGGAACATTCTATCATGGCTATTTTGGCATTCCAGTGGAAATCACACTTGACTATCATTCACTCAAAATATTGGTAAGGACAGAAAATCACAGATTCTCAGTTCGTTGGTGAGCCCACATACGAAACCGACCATCGAAGGTTGACAACGGTTGGAAGAGAATAAAGCGGATAGAAGTGCTGGGGACCAGAAAATATGTGAGAATGGATCACTTAGTTACCTATGAAAGTAAGTGGAATCATTGTTTTCTTGATAAGCAAACACCTGGTTGTTAACAGCAAGATTTATTCAATACAACAATGATGGGATGGCTGACATTTTCTGCCGTTTTGGGTGGGTTCTTCAGACCTAGGAAAGGTCAAAACTGACATGCAATCTCTTCAAGCGAACACTTTCACGCCCCAAGAAGAGAAAACTTAATGCATCAATTTTCATTCGCCTAACGAACAGCTTTTTTTAAACACTCACTGTTTCGTTCTTTGTCACATGGGCGAGGAATGTGCTTGGGTCAAGCCACAGAATCAGTCTGAAGTATGGCACAACCTCACGTATTACCACAAGGCACTCCTCCTTGCTGTTCATTTTTGGGTTCTTGGTGCTTATCCAAAACGCTGCAAGACTTTTATGCACTGAATCGTAATGTATGTGGGCCCTTTGCGCGCCTAGTGGGGTGTTTGGTTTCAATTTAAATTTACCGACCAGGTGTTCTTTTAAGCGGACGCAGAGTGCTCTGTGCTCTACCCGTTTCACCGATGTATTCGTCCCTGCACGCTTCACAAGACTAGGTAAACTGTAGCCGAACTCATGCAACCGTCTCTACCATTTCGGCATATTTTGCAATTTGGCGTTGTACATAGCCGGCCATATATTGAAATACAACCGAGCACCCTTAGACGTCAGTTAGTTCGCAACTGCCTGCACGACCGCCTATATGCAACACAAAATTGCACACTTTGCCCGGACAGTAGAGATAGTGATTGCATGAGTACGGATAAAGTTTACCTGCTTCCTTGTGAAGTGTGTGCGGACGAATACATTAGCGAGACGGGCAGATCACTCTGCATCCGTACAAAAAAACTCCTAGTCAATAAATTTAAATTAAGATGAAACACTCCACTAGGCGCGCAAAGGGCACAGAAGCATAACGAGGAAGATTTTGAAGTTTAAGTCGTAGTTCTCGCACAAGAATCGAAAACTTCACTGCGCAAGACTCTCGAAGCATTCTGGATGAATTTCATGAACCCGAAAATGAACTAACCGCAAGGAGGAACGCCTCATAATCACGCGTGATACTGGACGGTATTTAAACCTGTCATTCCAGTGTGAGAGAAGGAAATTACGTGTCCATGTGAACTCCCTGCGGTTGGTCTTCACACGATATACTCAGTGGAAGACTCATAGAAAGCGATGAGTGTGTGAAGAAGCTATTTTGTCCTTAATGCAATTAAAATCTTAGCTTAGAATTTACTCTGTTTGCTTGTGAAAGTGCTTGGCGAGGTTGATTCCAGTTAACTCGACCTTTCTGGGCTCTGAAGAAGGCGAAATCTGCCGAAAGGTCAGCAATCAAGAATATAGTAGCAACTCCGCGATTGCTCATCAAGGATATAGTGGAAATGGTGAGTGTTTAAGAGAAACTGTTCACTATACGAATAAACATTTATGCATTAAGTTTTGTCGGCTGAGGGTATGATGGTGTTTAACTGAGTGGATTGCGTGTCTATTTGACCTTTCCAGGCTCTGAAGAAGGCGAAACCGCTGAAACGTCGGCCAGCATTCTATTGAATAAATCTTGCTGTTAACAACCTTGTGTTTATTCATCAAGAAAACTGCTTATTACTGATCAGTTCCGAGGATAAAATAAAGTCGGTCCTAGGATTTGCCAAGTGAAGCCACTTGGGCTCATAGGAAACCACTCAATGAGTTCATTTTCTTCTTCATATCTTCCGCAAATCTAATCGTCTTCGTTTAACATTTCATCAGTCATCTAATGTCAAGCAATATTCTTCTAATTAAAAGTCTTGCATTAGGAAATACAGCGTCCACTCTTTTCGTCCTTATCGGTTGCTTCGAAAACTTCATAGGCGAAAGAAAAAAGTCACATCTAGGACATAACGAGAAATATTGATTTCTGAAGTGCACTTGAGATCACCCAAAATACTACTGAAGAAGAAAGCTAAGATGAATAGCAGCAGTTCGGAAGTAAACAGAGAACTGGGTGCAAATCGTTAGGGAAGGCAGGAAAATAAGAGTGCCTTGCTAAATAATCTTAGAGATAACAAATTTTGGTAGAAGCCTCTGCAAGTGCTGCATGTGACTATTTAAGCCTTTCAATTTGTGATTTTATTGGTTGCCTTGATTTTAAACATGTTATAATAACTAAATCAGTATGACTTCTACAATGCTGAGATGTTTGCAAAACTCCGGACCGCAGGTGCCTGCGGCGAGGAACGAACGCGCTATTGTCCTTTCCGGGGAGTAACGTGTTCACCACCACACCATGCAGGTCCTTCGTTTCGCGTGTCTCTCAGCTAGCTCTATCGATCACTGCCTTTAAAAAAGAATAGGCAGTAAATAAAAAGGTTAAGATTGCAAATCAGTATGGCTTATTGTTGGATAACAAACGTTTTCCTTAAGATCATTCGATCCGGAAAGTTTCACCGAACTGATCGTCAAAATTCTACGCAGTAATGGAAGGAAAGAACAGGAATATCCGATCGCTAATATGACATGACAAGCTAAAAAGAAAAACTCTAGTGGCTGAGAGAAAGTTCACAGCAGTTAGGACTACTTCAACGCGTTACTTATGTGGGCAATCATAAAGAAAGTAGGGTGATTGCTGATGGCAAAAAAGATCGATAGAACTAGCTGAGATACATGCAAAGCGAAGGACCCGGATGGTGTAGTGGTGAAGTGCGCTGCTCCCCGGTAAGGACAACAGCGCGTGTTCGTTCTCCACTGCATACACCTGTGGTCCGGAGTTTTGCAAATATCTCAGCATTTCATACGAGTTATAAAGAAAGTATTTAGCAGATTTAGAAATAAATTCGACTATTCAACCGCACCTAGCTGGTGGCGACCGATGATGACAAGTGATAAGATCAAGACCAACAGAAGCAGCTGGATATTCAAAGTCGTCAATGAGTTGCTCATACCTCCTCAGAACGATAACACAGTTATACAACGGACAGATGTCAACCAACTAAAACAGCGACATCAGTTCGAATCTAAGCCAACCCTAACGTTATCCACCTATCTGACGATAACTAAAATGTGGAGCGATTTATTCACGAGATATGACAGAAACGATTTGTACAGTTGTGTAAATCAACCACCAGACAATCTCAATAGCTTTGTTTTTGATAGCTTTCTGATAGCTCAAACAACTTTTCTACCAGCTGATCAACTCCTGTCGTAGACGAATAATGCACTCAAACACGATTCGGTCACAACAAACCATGATATACTATTTCAGTGAACAATAAATCAGTGAGGCATCGTTCTACACCTACATACAAGCAGAGAAATCATTAGTGAGAAAATAGACTACATATCCAGTTTCAACGGTCTCTATTTCTACCACACTAGCCTTTTCAAACGATTCGGAAACGAAGATCTAGGATTTTATATAGGCTTAGATCTTCACCGTCCATTGTTATTTCCCCTATTTTCGATAGGTTCAAGAACCAAGGTTGACATAAGAGATAGAACCTGGGCAGCCGCCGTTGTGGGTCAGTTAGGTCGACTGTGAGCGCTGCACTACACAAACATTTCTTTCCAGCCTTATTGATTGACTGCAAAGATGAAACTTCGCCAATCGGTGAGAACAGAGGAAAAAATGAAGAGCAGAAGATAAGTGAAGAGAAGAAAAGGTTATGCTAGGGTTTCGGATTCAGTGGTAGATGAGATAAGATAGCAGATAAAAGCATAGAATAGAAAACACAGTATAAAAAAGTTAATGAGACGAACGTTAGATGTTAGAGTGTTTGAAAATAAACCGAAACTAATGTTAGAGTCGTTTATATATGCTGGACCGATTTTTCATCGAAAAATGAGACATGATTGACTAGCGAAAGGCGAACAAGTCAGAACGAAAAGAAAAAAAACATCTGGATGACTTACCTTCTCTTCTGGAGAATCTAGCATGGCCAACTTGTCCAAATCAACGATCGCTTCACGTTCATCAATCGGCACAATCGCAACCGGCATCACGTTACCGTCCTGTTCGAGTCGATCATCCTCGTCCACTTCCTCTTCTTTCATTTCATCATCATTCTTCTTCACATCGTACTCCTTCATCACACTATCGTCCGCAACTTTGTTATCATCGAAACCATTCTCAACCTGTTATTACACAATACTGAACTGCACAGATAAAATGTATAAAAGTGGAGATAACACAATTTTCCACTCTGTTGACATTTATTGGGAATGAAAGCATTTGTTGTATTGAATGCCTGAGTATGAATATGATCTAACTATCTTTTATTAGTAGGAATTTTGAACAAAAACAAAGGAAATATAGGAAGGAAACAGCCAGTCGTTATGAACTCAATCACGACTGTTGCGTTGTAAACAAACCGGTCGGCCCAAACTGCTATGCCTTGTCGACCTAATGTTCTTCTCCCTGGCTGGTTAACAGCAGAAATGTGAAATAGTAAAATTTATGGAAGACAACTTTGTCAAAAAAATGTAGGACAAATGTTTTTTCCGCTTGAATTACTCGTTTGAACAAAAATTCGACCTTTTTGTATTCATCGACATTGAAGTCGTTGTTGATGCCCAACGAGTTCTTCCTGGACGTTTGACGAAACTCGTTCGGAATTGGCTCATCCCCACTCAGTAGTGAATGCTTGTTCGGAAATGGTCCAGTACCGACGAACAGATAGAAAGTTATCAGGGTCCATACGCCGAGAATCGCAGAACACCACGGTACGACCTTCCGCCGACCGACGAGCATCGTGAAGAGATCGGCACCCAAGCGTGGCCACGCCCAACAGCCTTCCCTTCGCTGACGATACTACGATGAGCAGGCCGACGGACTACTGGGCCTGCTGGCCGGCTTGCATCACTTCTGCACCTAGTGATTGTTGTGCCAGAAAACGACGAAATTAATCGGATATATCTATATATGTTCTGTATGACGAGTCATCCCACGTGAACAACATACGGGTGATCCTACATGCAACAACACGGCTCTGAGGAAGGCAAAATCGCCGAAACATCAGCCATCGAACAACAGCAACAACAACTTATACCAACCTCGGATCCGTTCAACAAGGGCAGTTCGTATGAACATATAAGGATATATCGGTTATTTATGCCGACGTTTATAGAAATTCGATCTTTTGAGTTATCAACCTGAGACATTCTTCATTTTATTGTTCGTTTAGTCCATTAACGAACAGTTATCCACTTGTTTCTTTGTCTACAAAACCCAATTTTTGACACATTCAGAGGTCTCAAATTTGTAGGGCCAAACTAAAATCAAAATTTAAAGAAGTAAAGTGAAGCAGATTTTGAACGTTTTCGCATATCGTTTCAATAAAGCACTGGAGGAATTCAGCGTAAATTCACCAACGCCTTCTTGGTGGACACTTTTTCAAAGAAACTGCGAATTGACTCATATGCAAGTAGCAGACGTGATCAGGAGAGGCTAAAGCAGTCGGCGCTAATCAATCCCTTAGGGAACATGGACAAGTCTGATAAAAATTGGCCGACCTTGCGGGATGAGGAGCTTTGTTCACACTCAGCGTGGAGTTGAACCAAAGACAACGTGTGTATTGCAGGACACCTGTAAACGATTGCACTACAGTCTCCATAAAGAAATTGTATCCGTTGAGATTTTAATAAAGATAACGGAGCTAGGTTCACAGAGCCACCATTGAAATGGAGTAAGAGCAAACCTCCCTAAACTAATTCGCCCAGGACTTTCGTCTAGAAGATTCCAAAAAAAGAAAAGAATCGTATAAATCGTAGTCATGGAAGGCACGTATAAACGGCTTTGAAGAAGGCGATACTGCCGAAACGTCAGCTACGATTGTGTTGTGTGCTATTGTATGGTAGTAAACGTATGCTGCTTGACAGCCTCTCGATTTCAAGGATGCTCAGATATTTGCAAAACTCCCGGACCGCAGGTGTCTGATTGCTGAGGAACAAACCTCGCCATTGCTGAGAAAGATAACGACGAAAAATCGTATATTTCCAAGAGACTCAACTTAATTTTTCTCTGAATAAAAATCCAACGACTTGTCCTGTGAAATCAGTGAGCGTTTAGACAAATTTTTACAATCACCTGTATCACCTGTAGTCCCGTTGATCATCGAGTGACTAGAGCCAGCGCCAGTAAATCTTCCATTTTTCCCCGTCGCGTGCAAGAGTTGCCCAGTGGGTTCTGCTCGCTCTAGAGACTCGTCGAGCATCATACCTTTCTTCAAGGCTCTTTGTGAAGAACTTTGACCAACGGGTCGGTGGTCTTCCTGCAGTACGTTTGACATCCCGAGGAATCCAGTCACTAACGGCACCTTAGTTCATTGCGATCCAAGCAGCTTACAATGGTTCCGAGTTTTAGCAGCCTCTCCGTACTCGTCCTACCCAACGCTGCGAAATTGGGGGTTCTTTCGGGCATGGGAATGAGGCCCATTTCTTTTACCGCTTTTGACTTTTCGATACCTGCATACAGCTTGCTGGGCTCTGAACGTGGGGGCTGGGTATACTCCCGGGCATTTTGCCAGTCTCTCAGAGTGGACATGGAGTTTATTTGTTGGAGACGACTCGTAACTGCCTCCCATATACTTCGCTCTCACTTGATTGCAGGCTTTTGGCCGAATTGACTCGTAGAGTACAATCCGCATAAACGAGAACGCACCCACACACGCGTAAACGAATAAATACAGGAAGTATGTGCCAAATCGGTGCAGCAGAAACAGGGTGTCCAACCACTGGATCCAACTGCGCCTCAAGGAGGGAAAGCTCGCTTTTAGTCCGGGATTAACCTCCTATCCGCCACCTGGGGACGCGCCATGTAGCCTCTCGACTAACCGGCTCGAGATGCCTCACATGAGGGAGATCAGTGGACTTTTTACAATACTAGGCGTAGCTCAGGAGAGTTTATGAAGTGGATTTCACTGAGCGTTAGGTTGTACAGAAATAAATGAGCGTTTCAAAATATCCTTGTACCTCGCAATGTTATATATCAATAGAAAGCTGATTTTATGCTCTTTTTAACAATTTTTTTTACCAGATTTGAACTTTAAAATTTCGAATGTCACAAATGAATTTTCATCAAATTTTCTTTTATTAGTTCAAACTCTGTCGTTGTGCAGCAGAGACGACTGGAAAGATTAACGAAATTTGGGGTGAAGGTAGTGCACAGTTCTGGAAATTCCGATTTGGTGATTTCGACCTCGAAGATAAGGAAGCTGCGAACGAGTCAGTGAACTTGACGACGACAAATTGAAGGAACTAGTGGAAGCAAACACGCAAACAACCGTCCGAGAGCTTGCAGAACAGCTTGGCGTAAGCACAGGAGCAATTTCCACTCACTTCAGTCGCATAGGGAAGACAAGAAACTCGACAACTAAACGCCGCAAGAATTAAACAGTAGCAAAAAAAATCGCCGTTTTGAATTGTCGTCTGTTCTTATTTTGCGCAATAAAAACTACCCTTTTCTTGATCGAATTGTGACATGCGACGGAAAGTGGATTCTGTATGGCAACCGGCTCAATGGTTGGATGCCCCACAGCATTTTCCAAAGCCCAAATTGCACCAAAAAAGGTTGTGGTGACTATTTGGTGGCCTGTAGCCTGGCTGATTCACCACGGCTTTTCGAATCTGGACGAAACAATTACGGCAGAGAAGTACTGCTAACAAATCTGCGAAGTGCACCGTAAATTCCAACAGCGACTGGCATTAGTCAACAAAAAAGAACAGTCCTTCTCCACGACAATGGCCGGCCTCACATTGCGGAACCAGCGCTGCACGAATTAGTAAAGTTTTGATTGAAGCAAGCTATAACATTTTAAATAATATAGCTAAAAACGCTCATCTATTTCTGAACAACCGAATAGTTGGGAAATAGAGGGGCACGTGTGGCGCAGTGGATAGAGATGCCCTGAAATGCGAACGTGGTCATTGGTTTGATACTGCGATAAAGACAAATCAAGCTTTTCATTACTACAGAGTGGAGAAATTCGTAGCAGAGTTGTCTGAGAGGACAAAACACTGACTTAGTACATTGGTATTTTCCAGAAATCATTTTATAGGCTATATATTCAATCAATCGTCTCTACAATCCCACGAATGGAATTTTTTGATGGAGCATGGAGCATTCCTAAGAGGTTGATGAACGCTGAACGACTTTTTCATGTTTTAACAGCTCGCTGAATAGCTGAGCATTTGATAAACACAAGAAGAAGTCATCCATAAACCACCGAGAGACGTTACAACAAAAATGCATTAAATCGCCTTAAGCATAATCAGACCAAAACATGATTTTCTTCTCATGCGAAGTAAATAGCGGTTTCCAGGAACCAGAAATGTCTTATGGTCAACATTGTTTCTTTTATGAATGAAATGTCATGAACATACAACCAGATGGTCTGAAAAGATTACTGGTGATGAGGTCGAGCCTAACTTGCGTACGTTTATCGTAATATCTCTGACTACTACGCTTTTGCCGAAGAAAGTTAGTGATTGTAAACCATTTTTTCTTGTCAAAGTGGTCAACAGGACTTTCTAAAATAATTTCTACACTTTCTCAAACATACGTAGCAGCTAGGGCAGCAGATGACAAGAACAAGTTCAATTTTCATCAGCTGTGGATAACTACGGTCAATAGCTGACAAGTGTGGGATCAACATAACAGCAGACAATAAAATCGATTGGATTGCAATATTTGAAAACATAAAATGGGAGTCACTTTTTAGGCGATAAAACTAATTCTCCACTTCCTACTACTTGTAAAAGGGTTTGGATTTTTCCAACTCGAGTTGTGTAAAAGGAAAGGGTAAAGGTCTCGACGTTGATCAATCCCTGAGGAATGCACCACGCATTCGACTTTATTAAGTATCGTTAGAGGTGATTAAATGATATCTGGCCTTTACAATGACACGCGGTGGCCTATCGATGTATCGAGCCAGTGCTGCCCTCCTCCCAGAGAAGTCTAGTACCAATTCGCCGACTCTAGAGGAATGGAAGGCGTGGTGGGCCTAAAGCACGGGATCGATCCTATGCATATTGTAGGGCACCCCTAACCGTTGCGCCACACGCTCCTCTCCAGCTGGATAGAAAACTTTAATCCTTAAGAATCAACTGATTAGCAATAATATGAGATTTCATTCATATTTTTGAATTCAAATTACGCTACCAGAGATCTCATCACAGAGGAATTTTGAGTCAGTAAATTACAAGACCACCCTTGTCGCTTGCATAGGTGATTGCCTTAGTCCATTTAGCACAAAATGCTCGTTCATGCGGCCATTGCAGAAAATGTACCACATACTTCACTATATAATGTTCGACTTGCCACGCCAACTTTTTGTAGATGCGCAGAGCAAACATCAGGCACAGGCAATTAAACATTCATATACAAATACAACAACAGTAGCAAGGTAGCAATAACAACAGTGCACATCTTCTGTTTCAAGACTTAACAACAACTTCAATAAGTCGGTGACACAAGACGATAAGTCTGGACAGTTAAAAAATCACCTAGCCTCTGGTAGAAAAGAGGGAATTGAGGTAAAGCATGATGACGATCTCAGAATATCGACCAAAGTACGACTCCTCGCAAATGTTGCTCTATTCCTAGCGTTTTGTTTTACTGTTTACTATAATGTTTTTACTGTTGTGCAGGTGTTGCCATACAAGGAGTTAACAAGCACTTTTCAGCCAGCTGGAAGGCAAGAAAGTGAGCCAGCTACTATGACGCATTCTGTAGATAGGAAATTGACTCGGTGGAGCAATATACAAATAACATGAGAAACACCTCACAGTAGTAAGAAATAAGATGAGAGGAGATAGAGAATAGCCTCTACACTCTCCACCTGACGGAAGCTGTGTGAATAGCCTCTACATTTTCCACTTGACAGAAGCTGTAGTGTGGATGTTTTCTGCGAGACATAATGAGTGCGCAGAATTTTCCACAAATAACATGAGAAACATTAAAGGAGACAAAGCTAAATACAGATGAAGATAGAAACCACTCTCCATAGGACAGAAATTAGTCTATCTTCATCTACATTCCCTATAGATGGCGTGTTGAAGTATTAATGAGGATCAACTGTAGGGTTGAATTCAGCGAGCGCTCTCCTCCCAGTTTCCTTGCTGTGTCGAATTCTCTTCTCTGTCTTCCGTGCAGGGTTAATTATTAGTGTACTATCATAGCATATTAATAAATGTGATCGCATATATGCAAACTGTTGTCCACTCGTCGATTTGTTCAAAAGTCTTCAGTCCAGAAAATCAAACGAAATGCAGCTCGTTCTACATACACCCTCAAAAAGCACATTGAACTTTTTAGGAGCGCGCAGACCACTTGTGCTTGAAGTTGACCGTTCCCGACAGTGGTTAGTTTATCCAATATGACTGCAATGCAGCTGGACCTTCTAGATTGAGATAATCTTCGCTCGTTTAACTGTGATAATAGTTTAAAGCATAAAAAATTTGGTGTTGATTAACCCAAAAAAGTCGTAGATGCGAACTCATGCAAAACTGATCTTTGCGATGTCTTCCGGTAGCTCATCGGTGTATCAAGTCAGTACTGCTACCGTTCCAATCAAGCCTTGTACTAATCAGCTTACCACGGGGAGATGGCAAGCTCAGTGAGTCCAACGGGAGGGATAGAACCAGGAATCCACCTAGTGTGTATTGTAACCCATATTCAACCATCGCTGCATGCGCACACTCAACTCGCTCAGTTCATCACATTTACTTGACATTTCAACAACTTGAGAAAGAAGTCCTCAAGAATCACCCTTGTTCTCGGTAGTATTTTTCAGTTTACCGCCTTAACGTGGCTGAGTTGTTCCTAGGTGAAGAGTTGTGATGTAGAGCGTGTGGATTCGCCACCCCCATCAGCAGTACCTCCAAAGCTGAGAAGGAGTCTGGCGTTCCCACCAGGAAACTCAGCTAAGATTAAACGAATACCAGAACCCATCACCGTCCTGGTATCAAACTAGTCGCAAACTGCCTGTGGTGGAGACGACCTGTAGCAACCTTTGGCTAGGCTGACATCGGGACTCCAGGAAACTCCGAAAAAAAATTGAAATTATGCTAAGGCGCGCACAACCAGTGAAAATGGGCCATCTCAGTGTGCAAGTAAGCACTTTTAAATACAGCACTGTACATCAGCTATTACAAACGTGACTTCATCAATGTAATCCACAAATATGAGAAGTCCACGATATGTCTCACACCGCCATATGAATACCTTCGACAATTTAATTTTTAATCATCTTAACTCTTTTATTTACTGCCTTTTTCTTCTTAATAGCAGGGTATGTTGTGAAATATAGCTCGTATGAAGTGCTGAGATATCTGCAAAACTCCGGACCACAAGTGTATGCAGTGGAGACCTCCGGGACCCGGATGGTGTAGTGGTGAAGTGCGCTGCTCCTCGGTAAGGACAACAGTGCGTGTTCGTTCTCCACTGCATACACCTGTGGTCCGGAGTTCTGCAGATATCTCAGCACTTCATACGAGTTAATTTTTAACGTTTCCTTACTTTCCAGCTACTAGTAAGCTAAATAACATAACTGTAATGGTTTTCGATAAAGACAAATCATGCGTCCTAATTATCACAATGACCACACTTATACGGGTGCTATGAGAACCAGCAGATAGATGCTTCTTAAGCGCTGCTACGATTAGCCACCAAACGCCTGTAGTACTAAGAATTACCCTTTCCTTCCACCGCTTTAGGATTCACCTGCTTTTCATAGCCTAAGGTTTATCACTACAGATAACGTAACTGAATTCGCACTCCTCATAATACCCCTATCTATTAAAGTCGAGGTTAATAGAAAGTCGATCCTGGGAACGGCTAGGTTAGAATTCAGTTTATAAAGACGTAAAGGGCATTGCTTTGTTATCTTACAACTTGTCTCAACTTCACGTGTTTGAAACACTTTATAACAAAGTAAGAAGAAATAACACACGCCATTCTGTTCTATAAAGCACCAAGGTGTTATAAGCATTGGCATAGTCACAACAGGTAGGACAAAACAAGTACTTTGCAGACAAAACAACAAGCACTATGAAATGCATGAGTAACAACCACGTTTTCATCTAGATTCTATAATCACCAAAAGTCGATGGTGAGATGTACAAAATTCAATTCTTTCACTATAAATTCTTATGGTCCACAGAAATCACTGAGATATCCTGTAACCTTTATAGAGTAGCTAAAAATACTCTACAATTCAAAGTCTCGGTCGAAATACAAGATGTAAACGAATAACAAACATATTTGTGATCAGAACAGTTGTTTCGAACGAGCAGAAATCATAGGGATAAGCTGACATGGACGCCTTGAGCAACCCTCTATACTTTGACACAGACCCTGATACTAACGAAAGGTGATCACAAATCGAGTAACTATGTTCAAACGATAATTCATCGCGTATCCACTGACAAAATGACAACAGTTCATACTTAGAAAGCAACGATACACTAAAGTTTACAACCTAAAAGCGGCAGAACATAAGAGAGCTGTGAAATAATTCGATGGAAAAACAGCCAATAACGTTACAAAATCGAAACCCTGAGATATTCACCGATAACTGCACGAAAACTCTCTATAGACAACAATAATGTGTATCCTTAAATTGGATAATTACGGCTCTCACAATTCCTCTCACCACTAGCAATTCCTACACGTCAATTATGCTTTGCTTTCTTACCCCAGGAGTACTCTATCCATCTATTAGCAGTATCATTAAGAATCTTATCACCGCTGATCTGAACTAACCATTTGAGCAGGTACACATGAACTGCATGGTAGTCCCATCTAAAAAGAAAGCGTAGTAATTACAATCTGTGGGCTTCACAAGATCAGAAATTCACCATAGTGGAGTAGGAAAACATGCACCATTGTGACAGCGATATGTACATTTTAAAAGTTATTATTTCAACTAATAAAATTCACTAGTAGCTAAGAAAAATTTCCACAAGGATGAAAGTAGAATTATTTTCGGAGATATACGCATTGAAATAAGTTTGTAATGTTGCGAATGTATGAAAAAGACCCATTAACCATCTCACTGTGTGAATGGAGCATACGAAACCAATCCGTTCTTCATGAACACCGTTTTTGTGAGATTTAGTCGAAGACCGATCTTTCCACAGGCTTTATCAAAGCCGTCAAGCATACACTCCGCTTGGCTAATGTTTGGTGTTATAAGAACGATGTCATCAGCAAAGCGAAGATGGTGTAACTGCCCACCATCGATTTTCACTCCCATATTATCTCATTCCAATGTTTGCATGACGTTCTGGAGGCTGGCAGTAAATAACTTTGGCGAGATGGCATCACCTTGCCTAATTCCTCTTTTGACGTGAATGTTAATATCGTTGTAGAATGGTGATACCTTGTTGGTGAAATTTTTGTACAGCTCACGAAGGATCTTTATGTACTGAATATGGACTCCTTGACTATCAAGGGCTTCTAAGACTGCTTCTATCTCAACTGAATCAAAGGCCTTCAGTAAGTCGATGAAAGAGCGGTCTTTTGTACTCTCGCGATACTTCGGTGATTATTGTTATCATGTGGATGTGGTTCATCGTGCTAAATCCTTTTGGAAACCCTGCATGCTCACATGGCTGTTCTTTGTTTAGTGTTCTGTCAATCCTGTTTAGAATGACTCGAGTAAAAAGTTTGTAGACGGCAGACGGTAAGCAGATTTGGCGGTAGTTGCCGATATCATGGAGGTCACCGTTCCTGAACAATAGAGCGGTCTTGCTGGTCTTCCACTGAGTAGGGACCTTGCATTTAGACAGGTAACGTGTGAAGAGCCTATCCAGTGTGTTTACAAGAACTGGCGGAAGGCTCTTCAGGTGTTCTAGTCTTATCCTGACCGGACCTAGTGCTGTTCGATTTTTCACCAACGAGATGGCACGTCGGATTTCGGAAAGGAGAACTGGTGGTACAACATATCCATCCTCTTTTATTTCGTATGACGGAAGGTGGACGTGGCTATCGAAAAGATCCGAGTAGTACTCATAAATGATTTTCTCCACTGCCTTTCTGGATGCCGCATTTTGATACGAGGACGGTGGGTCCCGGTATTGGTTTACTCTTAGCTGGCCTTCCTGGTGGGAACACCGGTCTCCTTAACTTGGGAGACCTTGCCGCGGAAGAATCCCCTTTCAGTACATCGCAGCCCACACCTGAGAACACCTTCCAGCCACGATGAGGCAGTGAACGGTTATGAGACAGTTTAGTTATATAGAGCAGAAGTATGCACAATAAGTTTTGAATAGTGTCGTTTTTTTCAGCGATCGCGAGGTTGTTATTCAGGACAAATTTGGTTTCGTACGCGTAGAACAAAGATTTTCATTGATATATTATAATCCAACAGTAGAAAGAATTTGTCGCTGCAAAATACGCAAAAAAGTAAAGTAAGAAATTCTGCACTAATTTTTTACAATATAGGAGGATTACATTACTGTATACACTTTCTCGGTAATTTTTGGTAGTTTGGAAGTTGTTTTTCGATGATTATTTGGCAAATTCGAGCTAATGCTGCGTGGTTTTTTTTAAAGTATCAACTAGTTCTTTTTAGTGAAGTTGTACTAGGTAGAAAAATCTATGGAAATTAGAGAAAACTGATTAATATTACCACGGGAGCTTCTGTAACAGCAGTTACCCTCGAAAGTTACTTCTTGTGAATTCTTCTAAAGTTTTACTACTTTCATTCAAACGTATTTCTTTCATTTTTTTGTTCTGGTGGAAAATATCAATGCCGTGTTATCAATAGTCTTATTCATAGTATAAAAGTCTCCTGGAAGGTCTTCTAAAAATCGTTGGGATAAAACCATGAAAAGTGTTGACGGGAATACCTTGAGAGAAATAATCACCTGTATCACCTGTAGTCCCGTTGATAGTGGAGTGACTTGAGCGAGCGCCAGCTGACTAGGGACCTTGCATTCAGATAGGTAACGTATGAAGAGCTGAGCCAGTGTGTTTACGAGGACTGGCGGAAGTTTTTTCAGGTGTTCAGATCTTATCCTCTTGTCTGGACCTGGTGCTGTTCGATTTTTCACCGACGAAAGGCATATCGCATTTCGGAAGAGAGGACCAGTGGTACAACGTATGCATAACTGTTTCGTCTGGGCGTCGGAGTACAGTAATCTTGAACTTGTAATTGGCGAAGCTTCGGTGGGCTTTGCGAATGCTTTTCCAGCCTCTGCAGCTTCGACCATTACTGCTGCTCTTCTCTCTTTAAGATCTTCTTTTATCGCCTGTCTGCATTGTTTTACAAGTTCGGACGTTAGTTCGCGGTTGCCTGCAGCTCGTTCGATTCCACGCTGGCGTATAAGCTCGAGTGTTTCTGGAGACAGACGTCTCTTGGTTACTTTCGAACTCTCAGCTTTCATAGCGCTAACGTGAAATTGTTGAATGAGCCGATCGTATTCTTCGTCGATGTTATCGACAACGGCATCTTCCCAACAGCCAACTAATGAATTGAATAAGTTCCAGTTTGCGGTGGTTCTGGGACTTCGGTTTTGGAATTTACCCGCTTTCTCTCCTTTCCGCGAGAAATAGAATCTTGCACGAAAGAGACGATGGTCTGATCCCGTGTAGAATTTTGGGACAACAAAAGTTCCAAAGAAAAAAGACTACGGAACCAAAATTATTGCAAAATAAGTGGATGCCTCGCAATGATTTACCGCCTCATCGTGGCTGGCAGATTTCTCTGTGTATCGTGATGCGATTTACAACGGGGTGTTCAACCCCTCCACCCCTCGGAGAGTGGTCTCCCAAACTGCAAAGGAGTACGACGTTTCCATTTGGAAGCCCAACTAAGAGCGAACCAGTACCAAAAATCACCACCGTCCTGGTGATATCAAACTAGTCGCATGGTGACATATACCCCTCTGATGCATACGGGCGGCGACTACCTGAAGTGGTCGACAACCTGAGGAAAGCGGCAAGGCTGATCTCGAGGCTCTAGGGAACCACAGTGGCTAAAATAGGAATTCTCCAGGAAGTACAAATTATGACGAGGCCCGCACAACTGGTGACAACGGACCATCCAAGGAAATGGATGAGGGATGAATAGACCTCGTAAGAACAGGAATTGTAAAAAATTTCATTTCAGATGTTGATCATCCAGAATTTTTTTCTAAGCTTCAATTTCTCATACGAATTTCTCGCTAGAAGTGAAAGATAGAATTGGTCCCACACCTCCGTTCATACTTCACTGCTCATCTTGTTTCTCTCCACTGTTGTCAACACTGTAAACACTATAAGGCACAAATTCGTGTGTACCGCCTCACGAATATTTAAACCAAGTTGTTTTGAAAAAGAAAGGAAGAAAAGAAAGCAGTACTCTTGTGGATAGAAAGTCTCAGTGGATAATTTGCAGCAAAAACTGCATGGTACATTATTCTTATACATTATATTTATCATTAAAACAAATGTATAAAAGCAAGACCACAATTTATACCTGGCGAGATTCGGTGCGGTATGTAATCCTACATGTCGAAGATCGTACAAAGATCCACTACCAGTGTCATAAAGAGGTATTAGAGCACGAAGTGACTCCATACCATTCGAGAATAGTAAGGAAGCACGTTCCAAGCCATGATGAACTTCAGCCGGAACTGGAATATTATACATAGCTTTCAAGGTTAATTCGAGCCACTTAATAGGTAACAACTGGTAGTTTTCGTAAGCACCCTATAATACATATAATCCGTTAATTATATAATCACATAATACGAAAATTCGTTGAATAAAATCGGTACTGCTGCAGACCAATATACAAAGGTCTAACTACATGAAGTAAACTTTTAAAACATTATGTTTGTAAGCCGAAAAAATAGCCACACTAATAAATTATATCAGCGTAATCTACAAACTGATAAACTTGTGTAGATAGATGCGAAAGAAATACACTATTTAACGCTCACCTTCAGTGTTTAGTTGAACACTCTTAAAATCATACAGACCAATTAATGAATACATAAAACCATTGAGAACAAAACTTCCAGGTGTTGTAGGGTATTCTTCGAACCAAACATGATCAAATAGCATGCTTCGTACACCACCATTACCAGCATCCTACAATAAAACCAATCCCTTGGTATTAAAACATTTCCTCAAGTACTGTTTCAGCAACACACTTTTTTTTTCGATATTAGGACGACATGGAACGACATGCAGCGCAGATGCTAAGGGCGCCATGCAATCAGTATCCATGCGGTCATTGGTTCGATCCCGCGCCACGGGTAAGCCGAACCCTAGTTCTACGAAAAAACTTTGAACTGGTAATTGCTTTGTTCCGGTGGATGATAAAAGACATTGAAATGATACATGAGCAGTCAACCATAATTCAAAATATGGGCCACGATGCCTTTAGTCACCTCTATGATGCATGAAGCCGGCGCACCTTCCAGGAGCTCATCAACGTCGAATGACTTATCCTTTATAGTTCTAACAGGAAAAGATCAAAATGTTATTCTAGCACAATATCCTTAATATATTCGCCACGAAGCTTGATTTTCAATAACTGCCCATAATTTTCCGATAATTAAAGCACGTTATGATGAACGCCTCCTACGGTTTACCGCCTCATCGCGGCTAGGAGGTGTTCCTGGGTGTCGGACTGCGATGTACAGCGGGCAATTCATCCCCTGGCAGGGTTTCCCAATCTGAGGAGTCCGGCGTTCCCATCAGGAAGTTTAGCTAAAAGTAAACCAATACCAGGATCCACCACCGTCCTAGTATCAAAGTCGCATGGTGGTAAATCACCCTCTGAACCACAAGGGCTACGACTGCCCGTTGTGGTGAAGATTTGGGGTAGACTTTGGCTAGGATGACCTCGGGACTCCAGGGAACCATAATGGCTTAAGCAGAAAATCTCCGAAAAATGGAGATTATGCTGGGGCCCGCACAACTAGTAAGGACGGGCCATTTAAGTATCAAGTATCGAGTATGATGAACAACTTAGCTCCAGAGCTGAGCAGAAGGAAACGAGCTGCTTGGGGAACTTTCAAGAGCATCGAGGATGTAGTGAGAACAAAGAACACCCGACTCCGTGCCCACCTTTTCGACTCAACGGTACTCCCTGTCCTAACGTATGCGTCAGAAACTTGGTCGTTGCGTAGGCAGGATGAAAGATCACTCAGCGTTATCGAACGCACAGTCGAAAGGACGATGCCAGGAGTATTCCGTTTCGCACAAGTAAAGGATGGAATCCGAAGTTTCGACCTGCACCAACGATCAAAAATCAAAGACGCCGTTCTGTACGCCAAACAGCTGAAGATAAAATGGGCTGGGCACGTAATGCGTATGAATGACAACCGGTAAACAAGAGCCGTTAGTGACTGCATTCCTCGAGATGTCAAAAGTACTGCAAGAAGACCACCGACCCCATGGTTACAGTTATTCATGAAGAACCAAGAACAAAGATATGATGCTTAACGAGTCCCTAGAGTGAGCAGAACATACTGGGCTACTCTTGCACGCGACAAGGAAAAATGGAAGATTTACTGGCGCCCGTTCGAGTTCTTCGACGATCAACGGGACTACAGGTGATACAGGTGATGAGTTGGAAACCAAATAGACATACAGTAGATGGTCTGAATTATCGCACTAAAGGCAGGAACGTTCTCGATGATGTTATCCTGGTTCTATACCTGCTCACAACTCAAATTTACAACTACGTGGGAACTAAACGAATCTTTAAAAAAGTTTGAATGCAAGAAGAGCAGCCGCAAACATTAACGATATGCTGGGAGACGCTATCATCGTACGAATTTCGGACTCAGTTACTTCGATTCAAGAAAATAAAGACTCTCACTGAGAAAGTGAGAAAAATCTACGAGCTCCGTAAAGTCATAATTTTATCACTGAGCAGTAAAAAACTCATGTCACACAATAGAATTCAATACGAGGCGATATATATATATATATACTTATATATATGTACATATATACGTAAACAGTATATAAGGCTGACAGAGGCAACCACTTCAGAACATACACGCATTGATATCAATGCGTGTTGTCGCAAACTTGGTAAATAGAAGACCGACCTTTTCAAAGAGTTTTAGTGCTTCGGTGGCAACAGTGAGGTAGGTGACATTGCGAGTCGTAGCAAAAGCACGAGTTAGCAGAGAAAGAGCGTGACCCTAAACATATGGAATACTAGACAAAGACGAAGGATCCAAGTGCTGCGCAACCAATTTTTACTCAAATGTAATGTTCACGAATACTAGCAATACCTGAGCCATTGCTGAGTGCCAGCCTGCATTTAGTGTAAGACGACGGTCTGCTATGGCTCGTTCTACAGGAACAGCCCAACCACCCTCAAACGGTAACCAATCATTCTGCTGTAAAATAAAGTTTCATGATAAAATAGCATACAAGATATGCACCTGTTTGTTTTGATTAGAGCATAACCATTCCGCCGCCGTCAAAAAAAATTTTCGGTGGGCATTCTGAGCTTGGCGAATTCGTTGTCGGACTGATGTGATGCCGCGGAAACCCAAAGACACAAGTTTTATATCTCCTAAATGTTCACCGCACTTCTTAGTCCAGTTCAGAAAAAGGATAAGAAAAGTTCAGCCTATCCGAATTACCTGGATGTATAACCACATTTCCATCTTTCTTTTTATTTGTGTTCATACTCGACAGTCCTCGCGAAACATCCACCAACACATCTCGGGTGACTGAATGCCACTGTCTTGGAAGTTGCCCAAGTGAAAAAGAGAACGATAGCTGAACATACAAAGTGTTAAAGAAAAAATAAAACCCCTTTTCATCAATTATTCTCATAAAAGTCGAACCGCCAATCCACTATTTCGCCACTTAATGAAAACTTGACTGCGATAAGCCAGAGCACGACTTTCACATCTACTATCAACAATAGGTTATTGTAAAAACAATATTTACGTTGAATGCTTTGGATGCTACAAGTGGAAAATAAATGTAGCAAAGCATCTCTATAAGATGAACCAATTCCAGAAACTTCATTTCTTTTGAAATCAGACAGTTATGACAAATAAGGTAGACTATAGCGAATGATATTATATCGGACGGTTGGGCACAAACCTCTTCAGTACCTGCGAATGACACAAAATCACTCCACACACAACGAGGATCATCTACAATGACATAGTTGAGCAGTACCAATGTGTCGGATTCAAGAAGCCGAACGAGAATAGTGAATGAGGCGTTTCTGATGGGCAGCCAATCGAACGACAGAACATGCAGTCGTGGTGAAGCGTCAAGGAAAACATAACAGCCAGCATTGGATAGATCACCTGAAATCATGCTTATGTCCTAGGTATAAAAATGAGTTTTACAAAGACTCCAAACGGATATCCATTTAATGAGGAAATAATAGAAGATATCGTTTTATAGCACGTGTAAGGCCTGATTCGATCTCGCCTTGGACAAACGAAACCTCCCATCCCTCCGAGATCGCAGAAATAGTACCGGACTTATCTGAGAAACTCCCCTGATCCAGAAATAATAGCGCATTGGCTATCATCTCGTCAACTCTGTAAGACTATAACCCGAGCCTGTGAATTTATACACATTGTTGAGCACTTTTACGAGAGCGACCAATGAAATAAATTGCTTTAAAGGATGACACTATTGCATGATACTACTTCTAAAAATAGACAGATTCACAGCCCTTCCACAATCCATATTTGAAAGAACACTGCTTACCTACTTACTGACCTTCTTTACTATACTGACCAGCTGACAAACTTTCACTTAAAAAGAATATGGTTAACTGTCAGTTATATCAGCACTCCAAGAAGAATCGACCCGAACAGCAATCAACGACACGCATAATGGAGAACAAATGCTCTAGCAGCAGCTGAACCCATAAGCAAAAGCTCCAACACGTTCGCGGATAGTGAATGAGAAGAAAATAAATCGAATACCAGACCTGCTGGGATCCAAACAGTAAGTGTGAACACGGGTTACGAAAAATAAAATATATTTATCATTTATTTTATTTAATCTTCACGTCTTCACGTCTACCGTGCCGATCCCAGCACTTCTCATATTCGATTCGTTTTCTCGCATCCATTGTCCACGAAGATCTTCCAACTTTTACATGTGGTTTCGGTTGCTGCTTGAGGATTTCCATTTCATCTTGGATGTCCTAGAATGCTAGTCGAGCAATTCTCCTTGGAGTCCTGAGAGAGCCGGGCTGCAGCGTTTCCAATTGGACTGCAGAGAGTGATTTCTTCCCAGACAAATCCGATACCAATTTCGCGACCCTGAAGGGATGAAAGGCTTTGCTTGGTTGACTCGGAGCGGAATCGAATTAGAACCATGTTGCACTTTTAATAAAATAGATTAAATAGTTAATCGTGATGATCACTCAAATGAACAGATAGACGTCAAGAATGCAAAAAGAAAATCTATGGAGAACTAAGTGGGAAGTCCAAGATACTGAAATTACGGCAAAATGGCAGACCTGCTGTTGTTATATTTACGATGTTGCCTCTTTCACCATCACTATAAAAAATCCGCTCGCTAGTTTCGTGCATGCCTGCCGATCCTTTCCACTCCGCACTTTCCAATCCCTTTACAATCTCTTCATCATAGGATTTATTGGCTAAAATAGTAAACTTCAGCCAATTAATGGTAGCAGAATTAAAAGAATATTATGAAACTGAGACGATAAGTAGACAAGAAGAGCGTTTAACCATGTCCTTAGAACGTAACCTCAAAGAAGAACCTTGGCAGAAAGGCCAGAGGTGTTTATCAGCAATACAACCAAGATGAGCCTGCCAATGCCTTCCTCTTAAGTTCAATTTTTATGATTGTTTTATAGGCGACCTTTTGCATCGGTTATTTGGATCAGGGATAGCAATAAAAAAATGTTATCAGACAAATTTATAACATTTGAGTGAAAACTAAACTTGGTGGTAACGTCGCTATTTAAGAAATACTATGGGCTTTTCTTCTTCTTCGATTGGGAAACAAAGGTGCTAGTTCAATTTCCGCCCCAAAGCTCTCCTCTGCTCCACGTGTGATCGCTTTAGCACAGCTATCTTCAAAATTGCAAGGAGAACTGACTCGATCAGAATTCCACGACATTCACAAGGAAGACGAAATCCTCAGGCAGTAGCTGAAGCCACATGTAAAAATTGGAAAACCTTCGGGGACGATGAATGCGAGGAAACGAATCGAACCCATGAAATGCTGGGATCCGCACAGTAGATCTGATGATGGTTCATGAAAGAAAAAGTAAGAAAAGATAGGCTGCTTACCAATCATTCTGCTGTAGTGCTGTAAACCATACTGAGCAATCTGAATTGGATAGTAATAAGGTATCGAACTCCACTGAGTAGACATAGGAACACCTCAAATCGTCAGAAAAAGGATATTTGACGCTCAGAAACAGAAACTTAGTGCCAACAAGTAGAAAATAAAGAAAAGACTCTGAGCAATACATACCAGTTTGGGCACTAATGCAACGGACTCGCTCCCTTGTCTCCACGCTGTACGTGGCGAAATGACCAAACAATCCGACCGGATCGTAGAAATCACCATCCGGAACACGAATCTTCGAATACGACGTGAACAGTTCGAAACGAGACCCATCTGGGAAGTTTCTTGTAATCTCTTAAGCCAAACGGACCGTCAGAATACAATGGAACAAAGTTCCGACCAAGTGCTTTGGTTTCAGGTGATGTGGCACTAGTGTTAACCTTATCTAATACCTACATTAACCTAAATGAATGCTTATATCCTGAAAGTATTCACAAGAGCGTACCTTTTGACAGTTTACCGGACACATCGTACTGTTTTTTGATGAACGAGAAAGGAAAGTAGTACTCGTTTCCGTCATACATACAATTCATCTCCTTCCCATTGTTCGCAATACATCTGGCCTTGTTCACAGTCTTTTTGAGTCTACTAACTTCAGTAGGGAGGATTGCAGGATTGCAAGGGGTATCCGCATGGAGGCTATTGTTATCCCTACTACTAATAACGTCCTTCACAAGTACTCGCTTCTCCCGACTGTCATACACTTCTACTAGGCTCTTGTTCAACAGGAGAAGAACTAAACATATTCCGCAAAACAGTAAAGTACTTCTCAACGATTTCCAACGAATCATGTTTTAGTTCCAGATGGTTTATACTGCCTTTGTGCCCTTTATCACGTCATTTCGTAGCGTTACCGTCCTAAACACGTAATGATGAGAAGGAAAAACAGTAAAACGGCACGAAGTAGCGACTGAGAACTCCTTATTTGATTTCTAAAGTTCGAGTGTCACATCTAAAAATATAAAGGCAAGCCCTTCCCTTCCCTGAGAATAAACGTTGTTGTAAGCCTGAATCGTGGCAAAATCAGGAGTAATTTGTGGCGCATAGGGTAACTGCACATGATGTTTTTTCGTACACGCCTTCCTTCAGCATCGAAACTGCTTAGTGTTCCTCTTACTTTTTTCAAATATTACTCGGCTCTATTCTATTGTAACTGTAATGTTTTTTGTATAAGGCATGAGCATGTCGGTGCTTTTTGAGTTCCTTCAGAAAAGAGTACGTCATGCTGTCACCTGATCGTGTATGTATTTATGCATTGTACACAATGCATAAGTACAATGTATACAATCCGATCTTTGTTTTTTTTGTGCATTACTAGAGCCTTGCATTGCTAGTCAAAATTGGTTAAGACTTACCAGTTTATTTGAAAAGGTTGCAAATGCGTTCGTTTGTTGATTGTAAAATGATATGTTGTTGAAATGTGTTCGTGACCCTCTCTCCCAGTAAGATGGCTTGAGTTGCTTTACGAAAGACCATATCATGTCGTTACCCGGTCCTGTATATATTTATGCTTTGTTCACAATGCAATGTGTTTTCCTTTGAGCATTACCAGGTTGCCTTTTTCGAAATGTTTGTAGCCGGAATTGGTGACCGTTTGTCACAATCAGCTTTTGGCGATGTTTCAGTTAAAGCAGCGACTTTCTTTGGATCCACTTGAAACAGTCGCAGGATGAACTCGGAAGCAGACTACCAGAAAATGACAGTGAGTTGACTGTACACCTTCAAATTAAATTCATAGTTTGTAACTTATTATTACTAGATCGCCCATTTAAAAGACGAATTATCGAAACGCGGAATTACTCCCGATCCGAAAGCGAAGAAGAGCGAGCTCATCAAATTATTGCAGAAGGTAGGTTATTAGAAGGGAGAAAATGTGGGTACTATACGAATGCACAGAACTTCGTGAATTCGCCAGTGTATACTCGTATATGTGGTAAGTACTACTGCTTCTCAGGTATTGAAATATACTGTAACAACCACAATGAAGCTGAGATATTTGCAAAACTCCGGGCCGTAGGTGTCGGTGGTGGGAAGCGAACGCGCTATTACCCATTCCGAGGGCTAAGGCGTTCACCACCCCACCGTGCAGGTCCTTCGCTTCGTCTGTCCCTCAGCTAGTTTTCTATCTAACAGTGCCATCAGCAATATTGTGGTATATTGAAATATGTATAGGCTGAAGAAGATGCCATTCTAAATCACAGTGAAGATGGAGGATATGGAGATCCACTTTCCACTCCAGATGGTAGGTGAACCTTCTTTTTGCTTTTTTTTTCTAAAATTTGAGACTTAACGCAAGAGGAAATTAGATTGTTATGGTGACTAAGCCATCCTTCAGTAGATAATTGTCTCAGGCAGACATACCAGAGTCTTTTGTGGTGCATAGTTTTAGTTGCCAGTTTGACAGCATACGTTTTCATATGTGGTATACCTCTCCAGGTTACAGTATTTACGAAAACGGACTCATAATTCGTTATAACATGTAATCCTGCATTAGTGGTTCAGTGGCAGGAATTCGCTGCCAGTGCACCAAAATGTAGTGGGGAGTTTGCCTGGATGTGTCGTTAGGTGAAATATTTGTTTAGCTTAAAACAATAAGTTTTAATGATGCATTGCATTCACAGTTTAACAGAATTTTAAAGAAGCTTGCATGGTAGATGAAGTAACCTTTGTAAGGGTTGATAAAATTACATTTTGATGCATTAATGCAATTTTTCCTATGCAGAGGATCTTCTCAACGATGATGTACTTAATGATGTTTTGCCCGAAAAGTTGATTGGCGATGTATCGAAACCAGTTAAAGCGACGACCGAAGTGAATTCTGTAACCACCACCGAACCCGAGAAGGTATGTCTGAATAATTTTTCCGCCGACTACAATTGTTGTTATAGTTATTATCATAAGTAGTTATTACTGCTGCTATTGGTATTATTAGTATTTTTTTAATACGACCCTTGTTTCACATGTTCTGTACGGATCCCAGCGCTTCCCACATTCGATTCGTGTCTGCACATCGATCGTCCACGAAGGTCTTCCAACTTTTACTTGTAGATTTGCTGCTGCTTGATGATTTCCATTTCACTTCAATTGTCGTAGGTTGCTAGTCGAATCGATTCTCCCTGGAGTCCTGAGATAGCCAGGCTGGAGCGTTCTTACGTAGTTTGCAGAGAACGGTTTTTTCCCGGACAAGTCCGGTACCATTTTCCCGACTCCGGAGAGATGAAAGGCTTGGTGAGCTTGGGGTGAGATCGAACTATCACCATGCTCGTGATGATCGGCAATGCTACCACTGTACTATTAGCTTGGTATTGTTATTAGTACTGTTATCTACTGTCTATTGTTATACATAAGCATTATTTGGTGCAAGTTTTCTTCCTTATATGAACAATGCTTAAGCATTACTATATTAAAATTTAGGAACGCCCTTCTGCTGTAGCTCATGATCCTCTTGCTTTGGATGTGAGACTAAAGCGTGCACAGAGGTTTGGCCTGCCAATTAGTGTTACGGATCCACTTGCTAAAGCAAAGAGAGCGGAAAGGTGAGATTCTATGAGCGGGCAAAACTTTCAGAACAATGTGATGGTTCATTATAGCTTTTCATATTTAGGTTCGGAATTAACAGTCTGTCTTCTAATGAGAGCAAAGCGAAAAGAGCTGAAAGGTATATTTTAGTCTTATGTGAACCGTGAACTGGAAAGGAGGTGGTACAGTTTCCTTTTACAGATTTGGGTTAAACAAGGAGATTAATACTGTTAATAAAAATGGGTCTTGTGATGAAGAAACGAGGAGAAAGTTGTTGAATAGAGCTGAGAGGTGAGAGAGATCTTCAAGATATCTCTTAGTCTGCGAAGTTAAAGCCTACTTTACATTATCCAAAATTACCTTAAATTTGTAAAGGTAGAATATTACTTTTCGAAATCACTATATTTTTTCCAGGTTCGGTTTACCAGTTAATAAGCAAGGAAAAACACTGACGTCATCGAAGGTGAGTGTGTAGTAGTTTTCGTGCTTTTTTAAAATTTTTGCGTGTAATTGTAACGGCCTGTGTATTCTATAAATTATAACAAATTAATAAAATTAATAAATAAAAAAGTTATGGAACAAGCTAATTGTAAATTGTGTACTGAGAAGGTTTTCATAGTTAGAAATCCTATACAATTTTTATTATGTAGTAATGCTAAGATTCCCAACCATCTATGCTGTAGAATAAGGTATTATTTAAATGTTTTAAAGGACATATTGGCTGCCCGAGCTGAGCGGTTTGGATTGAAAACATCTGGAGCAACTAATGTTGGTTTCTTTTATACACAGAACTTCTTTATCAGGGACTGTTTTTTTATCGCTTTTACTTGAGCAGTATGAGAACAGTTCAGGACGATCAAGAGCAAAGAAAGAAAGCCCGTCTGTTGAGGTTTGGTGGAAGTTAAATGAGTGCTTCTACTACCGAGTCGCCTAATCAATTCTTCCAAATGTCTTCCCTCCCTCATTCTTCCACTGTGTTCCTTCATAATACTTTTCTAACTTCCTGTTTGAATTTCTAGAAGTCTTTTAATTGAATGTACATCAAATCCGTTAACTTATCCTTATGATCAAATCTCATTTCACATCGTCCACTACCTACCGACGATCTGCTCTTCATTTGTTTCACAGGTAAGTGACGTCGTTCTTTTCGATCTAGAGAGGTCATTTTTTTCGAAATGGTGTAGAGTCGGCGTCGTTATAAAGAGGAACTCATCCGTGTGTGTCGAAGAGAGCGAATTAGAGGTGTGTTTCTTTTGAATTTTGTTCACTGTGAGCATGACGATTTACATGGTTCCTGAGATTCACCGGTGATTGGATGGACGGCCGTGTGGTAAATCTTGGACCACTTTGAAAGGTAAGTTAATTTTCCTGTAGTGTTCTTGTTCTCTCTTCGTACTATTTTCGTGAAGTGCAGTCATTTTCTCCCTGTATACATTGCGTTTCTGCATTTGTTATGTTAAACTTTGTTTTGGTTTTGCCATTAATAAACCGTTTAACCTTTGTTGTTGTTCAGTTTGCTAATAAAGTCACCCGTTGCGTCTATTTAAAAGAGTGTTCAAGATTGGTTGTGAATGTTTCAAACTACAGATGGAAGCAGATGTTGAGGTAGAAGCACTGCGTGCAATTTTTGGAGACGAAATCACAATTGAGTCTAAGTAAGTGAAAAACAGGTGGCATATTAGTTTAAAACGATTTGCCTTAAGCTTATGTATCCGGAAACCAGTTCATAGTGTAAGGTCACCATCGCTTTTGGGAAATATAGCTCACTGTAGTGGTAAATACGAAGTCGTAGAGAAGCTCTTATTCAGTAAGTCCCATTAACATTCAGGAGAGTGTTGAAGTGATATTTTTCATAATATATAATTTTCAGCCTTGACAATTCGCTAACAATAGTACGGAAGAAGGTTCGACCAAAAGATCAGGAGGGAGTTTCGTCCGCATCACTTGTGGTTGAGTTTGAGCTGGGAATAAAGGCTAGGTTTAAGAGAATTGTTTGTAATAAATAGAGGTAAGTGAAGTAGTAACTAGCAATTGAAGTGTATCCAGCAATTTTCTAGTATCCAGAGATTCCGCCAGAAGTTCGACTAGTCAATCCTCGAGGCATCTCCGAAGAATCGCATCGTCAACTTGTCGGAGACATAAATCGGATGGTCAGTGAAAATGTTGGATCCCCGATTATGTTTGATGTTTTTCAGGTTGGTAGTTCTCGTTTAATGTGAAGGTTCCATAAATTATTGGGTTATTTGGAAATCAGTGCCGGATTTCAAATTGTCTTTAAAGTAGCATATCAAGGCTCAAAACAACCTTTACTAATCCAGTTAAGGAATGTTAAGACCCGAACGTTTTCTCCAACGATAGACAAGTTTATATATTTCGATTGCTTAACATTGGAGTTTAGAGTTCTGAAAGCAAGGAAGTCATTACAGAGGGTTTCGGACTGGGCTTGGCTTTTGAAGCAGTTTCCGCACAGAGAATTGTCGAGATTCTTGATGGAGTGGTTGTCAGTAGACGAGATCTCGCAATTATGGCGGATGGGACAGAGACGTTCAATCCTTGTAACGTCGGTTGTGCGACGTGTGGGAGCGCATTGTCGTGGAGAAACATTGGTGCTTTTACCAATTATCATAGAAAATCCATTTTTCTTCACACATAATACGTTCGAGAAACGGTCGTTTTTGTTTTTTAGAAAGAACGCCGACGATTCTTCAAAATCGCAATTTTTTTCATTCAGTTTTTTTTCATTAATCTAACGCCGCATATGTTCATCGATCTTCTTCGACTTCCTAACTTTCTTAAGATGCTCCGAAACAAGTGAGATGTTTACACCGACTTCTTTTCCAAATTTTCGAGGTTATTGTGCGTACCACCGTCATCTTCAAAGTAGAATTCGCCATACCTACTGAACATATCGGGCCATTTGTGCTTCACTGTGTTTGAGTCTGTATTCGTAAAGATCAACTTGTCAAAACTGCTACTTCGAATTCGAAATTTTGTCGAAAGCATAGTTTACACGACACTTCAGTTATACTTACTTGGGCACTTGGATGGCCCGTCTTCACCGATTTTGCGGGCCTCAGCATAATTTACATGCTCCGGAGTTTTGCGGGCTTAGCCACTGTGTTTCACTGGAGTCCCGAGGCCAGCCTGCCCAATGTCTGCCCCAGGTCGTCATCACCATAGACCGTTGCCGCCCTTCTGGACAAGGGAGAGATTTGCCACCATGCGACTAGTTTGATACGAGGACGGTGGGTCCCGGCATTGGTTTACTCTTAGCTGGCCTTCCTGGTGGGAACACCGGTCTACTTAACTTGGGAGACCTTGCCGCGGAAGAATCCCCTTTCAGTACATCGCAGCCCACACCTGAGAACACCTTCCAGCCACGATGAGGCAGTGAACGGTTATGAGACAGTTTAGTTATATAGAGCAGAAGTATGCACAATAAGTTTTGAATAGTGTCGTTTTTTTCAGCGATCGCGAGGTTGTTATTCAGGACAAATTTGGTTTCGTACGCGTAGAACAAAGATTTTCATTGATATATTATAATCCAACAGTAGAAAGAATTTGTCGCTGCAAAATACGCAAAAAAGTAAAGTAAGAAATTCTGCACTAATTTTTTACAATATAGGAGGATTACATTACTGTATACACTTTCTCGGTAATTTTTGGTAGTTTGGAAGTTGTTTTTCGATGATTATTTGGCAAATTCGAGCTAATGCTGCGTGGTTTTTTTTAAAGTATCAACTAGTTCTTTTTAGTGAAGTTGTACTAGGTAGAAAAATCTATGGAAATTAGAGAAAACTGATTAATATTACCACGGGAGCTTCTGTAACAGCAGTTACCCTCGAAAGTTACTTCTTGTGAATTCTTCTAAAGTTTTACTACTTTCATTCAAACGTATTTCTTTCATTTTTTTGTTCTGGTGGAAAATATCAATGCCGTGTTATCAATAGTCTTATTCATAGTATAAAAGTCTCCTGGAAGGTCTTCTAAAAATCGTTGGGATAAAACCATGAAAAGTGTTGACGGGAATACCTTGAGAGAAATAATCACCTGTATCACCTGTAGTCCCGTTGATAGTGGAGTGACTTGAGCGAGCGCCAGCTGACTAGGGACCTTGCATTCAGATAGGTAACGTATGAAGAGCTGAGCCAGTGTGTTTACGAGGACTGGCGGAAGTTTTTTCAGGTGTTCAGATCTTATCCTCTTGTCTGGACCTGGTGCTGTTCGATTTTTCACCGACGAAAGGCATATCGCATTTCGGAAGAGAGGACCAGTGGTACAACGTATGCATAACTGTTTCGTCTGGGCGTCGGAGTACAGTAATCTTGAACTTGTAATTGGCGAAGCTTCGGTGGGCTTTGCGAATGCTTTTCCAGCCTCTGCAGCTTCGACCATTACTGCTGCTCTTCTCTCTTTAANCAGTTACCCTCGAAAGTTACTTCTTGTGAATTCTTCTAAAGTTTTACTACTTTCATTCAAACGTATTTCTTTCATTTTTTTGTTCTGGTGGAAAATATCAATGCCGTGTTATCAATAGTCTTATTCATAGTATAAAAGTCTCCTGGAAGGTCTTCTAAAAATCGTTGGGATAAAACCATGAAAAGTGTTGACGGGAATACCTTGAGAGAAATAATCACCTGTATCACCTGTAGTCCCGTTGATAGTGGAGTGACTTGAGCGAGCGCCAGCTGACTAGGGACCTTGCATTCAGATAGGTAACGTATGAAGAGCTGAGCCAGTGTGTTTACGAGGACTGGCGGAAGTTTTTTCAGGTGTTCAGATCTTATCCTCTTGTCTGGACCTGGTGCTGTTCGATTTTTCACCGACGAAAGGCATATCGCATTTCGGAAGAGAGGACCAGTGGTACAACGTATGCATAACTGTTTCGTCTGGGCGTCGGAGTACAGTAATCTTGAACTTGTAATTGGCGAAGCTTCGGTGGGCTTTGCGAATGCTTTTCCAGCCTCTGCAGCTTCGACCATTACTGCTGCTCTTCTCTCTTTAAGATCTTCTTTTATCGCCTGTCTGCATTGTTTTACAAGTTCGGACGTTAGTTCGCGGTTGCCTGCAGCTCGTTCGATTCCACGCTGGCGTATAAGCTCGAGTGTTTCTGGAGACAGACGTCTCTTGGTGACTTTCGAACTTTCAGAGAAATAATACTACGTAAAAACCTGATTAATTCATGCAGTCACGCCGCATATTGATTTGATTTCAGCACTGTGCCGACTTCATCCTAGAGCACCAGCACTCGTCGTCACAATTGTGTCCTATCTGTCTGTGTCCAATGATGTCAGGACAGGTCTCTTCGACTCCATGTGACCACTACGCTCATTCAGATTGTCTTGACTTGCATGCTGAATACACCCGTAAGCAGCTTGGCGAGAAGCTATCCGCCAGAGAGTTTAAGATGTGTGATGACATAGATAAGGTAATGTGTACTTTTAGCACACAAATCGGTAATGTAAGGCAAAGTGTTATTATAGTCATTGCGATGTCCTGTATGTCGTGTCGTGATAGAGGAGGAGATTGATCCCATTTTACCATCTTCATCTCATGAACACAAGCAGACTTCTAGTCTGAAGGACAAATCACCAAATTCGCCTTCTCAACAAGGATCACACGTTGAATTCGACTTCGACTGGGAAAAGTAAGGAACGAACTTGGGCCTTAAAAGAAAAAGATTATTTTGGTGTCAAGTACCAGATTATCATTTTATTATTCCCTTGACAACGATATGCGTTCTTCAAATTTTCTCCATGGAACAGATGTGACCACCACTTTTTTATATCCCGTTGTTTGTAATTTCGATATACTTTTTAGTGGATGGAGGCTGCTATATTGAGGGTTTATGAGAATCGTGTAATATATTCGAGTCCATGCGCATTGATACCTATACGTATGTCGAAAATAATCTGGCCCTCACACTTAGTGCACACATGTTAATTTTTTTCTACATGAGAGGACAGTTTTATGCTTGGTTACCGTTCACTTGCAGGTGGCGTCAACAACAAGCATCACTAATGGTAATCTACAAGAAACAAAAAGAAAAGGGTGGAATTATTGACCTAGAGGAAGAACGAAGGAAAACCCTTGTCACTGAAGATACGGTAAAGTGTTACGTGATTGCAAATTTATGTAGAAATTGTGCTTGTAGGTTCGATGTTATTGCTGTAACTTTACACATTTCTTGGTTTAGAAATTGTTTAAACGTAAAGAATCATTCTAAAAGGAATGATGAAAGAAATGTTCAAGTTGATCACCAGCAATCATATTGCAAAAAGAAAATCTGCAGCCAAAATCTCAGAATTTCAATGATTATGTCTTGACAGGATTCTTTGGTGTATAATAAGAAAAAAAAATGTTTTCATCATTATTTGATTAGGTGCAATACCAAGGTCTAGGGAGCTATTTCCTCTGTGATTTGATTACCTCTCGGATGGCGTGTAATGGACCTCGATGTTTTGATGTTTAGGTAGTGGTACTTAACAGAGAGTTGAATGATATGATTATTCAGTCGTCTGCCTCCGGTTCAGGGACATTAATAGACAACAGCTGCCTTGGATGTACAAGTGCAGAGTGAGTTATTGTAGATCTTTGTTTTCAACCCTCGAAATTTAGCAGTGACAGATAGAAAAAGCCTGCTTTATGATCAAATCAGTTTTTATATCCCATAACTGATTCCTTCCCATTGTTTTCTTTTTTAATAAGGGGATGTTTTACTTCTACAGAGTTTTTGAAATTTTGAGTCTCACCACTGTTCCATAAGGTATTTGGTACTCACCTTTATAATTATGTGCGAACAATTGAAGTCAACTAATAACTATATTATCAGCAGCACTTTAAATAACTTTAGACTAAGATTTACTTTTAGTGTTTATGGGAAATGCGCACTCATAGGGTGCATGTAGAGCAGCGGTATATGATGCCCAGCATCATGGGACATATACGTCATTGGTTGTATCATACATCTTGGTGGTTAGTGCTGTATTGTGATTTTGTTTTACCATGCTACCGTATGAGTCTCATAGATGATGTGTTGCAATGCAATGTTGCGGTAGGTTTCCAATTGGTGCGAGGACAAAAACATTTTTACATATAAGCAAAATGGTAGCAACGAAACCGAAATACCAGTAACTCCCACGACCGACTTTCTATTAACCTCGGCATTGATCAAGTAATTCTTCGTATTTTTGTTGAGCAAACGCGAGGTGTTATTATTCCTTATTCACGAATAAGCTGACGTTTCGGCGGATTTCGCCTTCCTCAGAGCCGCTTTCTATGAGGTTTCCACTAAGTATGTCACGTAGAGACCAACCGCACAGAAATCACATGGAAGTATAATGTGCCTTTTTTTAACGAACGAAATACCAGTATTTTCCTGACAGTGAAAGCGTATCTTCTGTAATGGTCTAATGGAGAAGTATAAGGAACATTTGACGTATAGAAATACAACTCAGCTAGAGAGAGAGAGAGCATTAAGTGGCAGCGCAAGCAGGGATGAGTAAAAATGGTTCCGAAACTGGTTAGTGTTCCCTATATACTGCCTTGTGTTGAATGGCAACTGCTGTGTGATCGGCAGATTTAACATGTTACAAAATTGTAGTGTGCCTAATGGATCACTAGAGATCTGGAGTAGCGACATAGCATACAATGAGCTTTGTGGACTAGTACAGAGGTTGAGTAGTACAGAGGTTGATGTAGCAGATAGTGACAACGAAGATATCGTGATCTTTCACTAAGAAGCTTACATTCTGTTGGAGTCCACTCCAATGTTCTTTTCATCTATCTATCACCCGTTCTTCCTGTTATATGACCAGCCCATCTGTGTTTCGCTTCCGATATATATCCTCATGGATCCCGAAGATGGGATAGTTTTCGAAGGTATGAGCTGCGCATTGCGGCCAGACGTTGTGAGTGCTGGTTAAATTTCAGAAGACATCGTCCAAGCGCATTGTGAGTAGTGCGGGTATTCCTTGACGTGGTTGGAGTTTTATCCCGTTTTTGCTGCATAACAGAACGTTAGGAGGAATGTTGAATCGAAAAAATGAGCGCACGGTTTCGGGTCTGTTTGTCGATCTGTTACTTCTTTGAGTGTCTCGAATGCGGTCCACGCTGCTTTCCTTCTGTCTGATTCCTCCTTCATGTTGTTGTCCATGTTCATTGAACATCCACGGTACATGGGTGAGATGGTCTGTGTAGTCAAGGAGCCATTCGTTTCTATATGTTCGCCTTCGCGTAATGGGTTCATGTGTCGGGTCTTCGCCCTATTTATGCGCAGTTCAATCTTTTTTCATACCTCTTTGATTTTATCGACTATCGCCTCTGCTTCGTTGGTACTTTTTCAAAAATAACGACATCTTTGGCAAAGCGACGATTTGATAGGAATTTTCCATCAGTACTTATGCCGTTGTCTTCCCACTCGAGTGACTCTACTGCAGCATAGCAGTAAACAGCTTTGGTGAGGTGTCGCCTTGCTGGAATCTTTTGTTTATGGGTAAGATAAGAGGTCAAAGGAAGAGCTATCCTACTAACAATGGAATTTTTCGTTATCAGTTGCATATGGTGATTGTTTCACTTTCTTTTATCGGGGTGGATAGTGGAACATCTCATTTTTCATTTGAATTTTCTCTTTTTTATTCATCTGCTTACTGGTATTGGAGCCACTGTGTGGATTTTGTTTCAGGAACTGAGGCGAGTTCGCTACAAGTTTTAAGTCCTTCGACATATTCTGTTATACATCAGGAGACGATGTAATTGAGAATATATTCGGCATACACGCTTTGTCCTGTTTTTCTTGGGCGATGATAGAACTGCATTTTCATCTTATGGCTGTATCGAATCTCTACACGGAGAAGGCGCTTATTAGATCCAGTAGAGGATCTAGATCTCATTGAGGTCTCAAGGAGGCATCACCTTCTATTTCTTAGAACGCTTAGGAGACTCTCATGTCCATCGGAGATTTTCTGTCTTCTCAAAAAATCCATTCACATGGAAAAGACATATTGCTAACAGAAGTCTTACGAGACGATTTCCATTCTCATTTCGTTCTCTTCTTCCGAATTTGCCTACCCTGTATTCGTTTTCGCTGGCTGTTTCTAATCTGGCGTTGACGTCGCCAACAACGTACATAACAGGGGCAAGTCTCTATTGCGCATCGTTAGTGTGCTCGTTTTGTTCGTTTCTACGACGTTCCGTGCAACCCGAGATTCAATCTCTTCTCACCGGTTGTCTCACGTCCCATTGCTATAGACTGTTCTCGAACAAGCTGACTCCTTTTAATCTAGTTTGAACGGTTCTGCACGATTATGCCAGGATTCTCTTGTTAATCAATCCAACTAGCACTCAACGACATTCGTGACGAGGAAGACGAAATCCACAAGCAGCAACAAAAGCCACGCGTAAAGAAAGGTTTGAAACTCTTCGATGGACAGAAGGGAACGACTCGAATGCAGCAACTGTTGAGATCCGAACCGTATGGTATACGTGCTGTCGAGTCATGTAATCATGGTAAGAAAACCTGAAGTTGCAAAAATAGGCAAAAGTACCGAAACTGTGTTTCGAGATCAACACTTGTGGAATGATTTATTTTTCCAATTTTAGTGCCGCTGCTTTGGACGTCTCAACGAGTTTTGTGGACCCAGCACCAACTAACTCATGTTTAGATACAATGAACAGAGAGAACCATTCTTCTAATCGTGATATGAACAAAGTAAGGAGATTTGATGAACGTGCAGAAGGTGGTTATCAGAAGAAAGAACATCGTGGAGGCGAGAAACGAGCATTTTCGAAATGTACCAAGAAGTATGCACTTGCAATGCCAGATGCTTCTGTTTTAAAATCAAAGTCCACTAGCGTACTAACTGGCGGACCTCGTCATGCTTATAATGTTCAACGTTCTGAAAGGCACTTTGTTTCTGGTTTAACAAGAGGACAGCACCGAGGTTCTTCTCAACATCAAAGTGTCGTTACTTGGAAAGCGTCTAAGAGTAGGAAGAAATCGACTATTGAACTCTGCGATGTTCATGAGTAGCGTTGTTTTTGTTTTGATAACTTTTGCTGTTGTGATAGTTTACTTGGATTAAGGGTTTTTGTAATTACCCATAACTAATAAGTCTTGTTTAGTGTTTATATCCCTACAATATTTATAATGATTTATTATTATAAATACTGTTCTTTGTTCAGGTCCTCGGTAATTTCCTGTACATTTCAATGTCGTTAGGTATTAGCCTTGTGCAGTATTTAGTTGCAAACCGAGCACATTTTTTTACGACTAACTCGTTTTTAATAAGTATTGTAATGATAATATTACTGATATTCCACAGTTAAATGTTCAAAAAGGGAGTCATGTACTAGCCAGATAAGTGGCATTAGTTGTTAGCTATTGTACTATGTGAAGATGAATATACTTGAGAGATAGTTTTATTTAACGTATTTTATACATTATACCTCCCAACAGTTTACCGCCTCACCGTGGCTAGGAGATGATCCTGGGTGTCGGACTGCGATGTACAACGGGAGATTCATCTCGCGGTAGGGTCTCTCAATCTGAGAAAGAGTCCGGCGTTTCCACCAGGAAGCCTAGCTAAGAGTAAACCAGTGCCAGGATCCACCACCGTCCTGGTATCAAGGTCGCATGGTAGTAAATCTGATCTGATCCACAAGGGCTGCGACTAGTTGTAGTGTTGAAGACCTGGAGCATACTTTGGCCACGCTGACCTCGGGACTTCAGGGAACCATAATGGCTTAACCAAAAATCTCCGAAAAGTGGAGATTATTGCTGGGGCCCGCATAACCAGTGAGGACGGGCCTTTCAAGTATCAAGTATACATTATAAGACTACTTCCGGTTTGCTAATATTTAACAGATTGGAGACGACGCTAAATTTTTCGACAACAGACGATGATTTGAGTATTTTGGAAGCTAAGGAATTTGTGGATTTATGGAAAAGATTTTGTTATTAAAAAAAAACCATTTCTATCGTTACCAACGTATGAACCTGTCTGTTCGTCGCATAGGCAATTGTCATGCAAGACGTTTGCACTCTCTTGTAATCCATTCCACTGTTTTTTTCGTCCATCTGTAACCCTATTAACTTTTACTACATGAGAAATCGTCCACGGATCTCCCTCATACGAGGAATCTCGAGCAGGTTAGTCGCGAGGCTAAGTGGCGCGTGCCTCGGTGGCGAATAGGGGGTTAATCGCGGACCAAAGCGACTTTTGCTTCCCTCAGACGCAGGTGGATACAGAGATGGACTCTCTCCTTTGCTGCACCGATTTGGCACATACTTTCTGTATTTACGAGGCGTACTCATGCATGCATGTGTAGCTGCGTTCTAGTTTATGCGGATTTTATTCTACGAGTAAATTCGGCCAAAAGGCTACAGGTGACAGGGAAGTGTATGGGAGGTGGTTAGGAGTTTCCTCCAACAAATATACTATCGCCTCTTTCGTGCAAGATTTCATTTCTCGCGGAGAGGAGAAAAAGCCGCTAAATTCAAAAAACGAGGTCTCAAAACCACCGTAAACTGGGACGCACTCAATTCACTAGTCGGTTGTTGGGAAGATCCAGGTGTCGACAAGATCGACGAAGAATGCGATGGTCTCATACTACATCTTCACATTAGCTCCGTAAAAGCTGAGATTTCAAAAATCACCAAGAGATGTCTGTCTCCAGAAACACTCGAGCTGATACGCCAGCGTAGAATCGCACAAGCTGCGGGCAACCGCGAACTAGCGTCCGAACTTGCAAAACAATGCAGGCAGACGATAGAACAAGATCTTAAAGAAAGGAGTTGTTGGAGGTGCTACTGCGACACAAACATGGAATCGATCTCCGAGCCCGTGGCCCAACAAGCCCTCCATCGCTCCAGGCCTGGCAGATTGGTACCAGACTTGTCTGGAAGGATAGCAGCACTGGTTCGATGCATCGGCGCCGAGAGCTTTATCTTTTTATCCTTCAAAGAGAGAAGAGCAGCAGTATTGGTCGAAACTGCAGAGGTTGGGGAAAGCATTCGCAAAGCCCACCGAAGCTTTACCAATTGCAAAACCAAGTTGATTGCGCCCCGACGCCTAAACGAAACAGTTACTGCGTCCAGAAAGCCAATAGAAGAAATCATTCCCGAATACTAATCATACCTCTCCAATGTTTGCGTCCTCCTTCCGTCATATGAAATGAATGAGGATGGATATGTCATACTACCGATACCGATCATACCTGTCGAAATTAGACATGGTGTTTCGTCAGTAGAAAATCGAACAGTGCCATGTCTGGACAGAATAGGACCTGAACACTTGAAAAAATTTCCGCCAGTCCTCGTAAACACACTGAATCGGCTATTCACGCGTTGCCTGTCTGAATGCAAGGTACCCACTCAGTGGAAAACCAGTAAGATCTTGCTAGTGTTCAAGAAGGGTGACCTCCATGATGTCGGCAACTATCGCTCAATATGCTTGCTGTCTGTCGTCTACAAACTTTTCATTCGAGTCATTCTAAACAGGATTGACAGAACACTTGACGAGGATTTTGTACTATGGACCACGTCCACCCTATAACAAGACTCACTGAAATATCGAGAGGACACAAAAGGCCGCTAAATCTCACTTTCATCGATTTACAGAAGGCCTTTGATTCAGTTGAGATAGAAGCACTATTGGAAGCCCCTGATAGTCAAGGAGTTTCTGCTCAGTATATAAAGATTCTTCGTGAGCTGTACAACCGAGATACCACCATTCTACAACGATATTAACATTGACGTCAAAGGAGGAGTTAGACCAGGTGATACCATCTCGCCAAGATTATTTACCGCCACCCTCGAGAACGTCATGCGAACATTGGAATAGGACAATATGGAAGTGAAAATCGATGGTGGGCAGTTACACCATCTTCGCTTTGCTGATGACATTGTCTTTATAACGCCAAATATTAGCCAAGCGGAACGTATGCTTGCCGACTTAGATAAAACCTGTGGAAAGATTGGTCGTCGAGTAAATCTCATAAAAACGATGTGTCATGAAGAACGGATTGGTTTTGTATACCCCATTCACGCTCAACGGAACGAATGTTTCCGAATTCTCCAGTTACGTCCATCTATGTCAGGAAATTAAAATGATGAGCGACTTAGTTTTAGAACTGAGCAGAAGGAAGCGAGCGGCTTGGAAAGCTTTTAGGAACATCGAGGATGTAGTGAAGAGGACAAAGAACATCCGACTCCGTGCCGAATGAACGGTGCTTCCTACCTTAACGTATGCGTCAGAAAACTGATCGCTGAGTGAACAGGATGAAAAATCAGTCAGCGTTATTGTACGTGCAGTCGAAAAGATGCTAGGAGTATGCCGATTCGCACAAATAAGAGAAGAAGTCGGAAGCTTCGGCCTGCGTCAACCATGAAAAGGCGAAGGTGCCGTTCTGTACGCCAAATAGTCAAAGATAGGATGGTATGGACACGAATGTCTATGAACGAAAACCGATGGACAAAAGCTGTTAGTGACTGGATTCCTCGGGATGTTAAGCGGACTTCAGGAAGGCCACCGACCCGATAGTCAAAGTTCTTCATGAAAGGCCTGGAAAAAGATATAGTGCTCACCGAGTCTATAGAGCAGGCAGAACCCACTGTGCTATTATTGCACACGACTGGGAAAAATGGCAAATTTACTGACGCTCGCTCGAGTCACTCAGCGACCAACGGGACTGCAGGTGATACCGGTGATGATCCATCCCACAACTATTGTGCGTGGAATCTAGTACTTTTTGCATTCAGTTCGTTTTTCTTCGCATTCATCGCCCGCGAAAGTCTTCAAGCATTTCGCACATTGTTCCGGCTGCTACTTGAGACTTTCGTCATTTTTGTGAATATTGTGGAATCAACACTAATCGAGTCGATTCTTCGTTCAATCTTAAAGATTGTCGGGCTAAGGCGTTCCAACGTGGAATCGAGAAGAGTTTTGGCAAGGGGTTCGAACCAGGACATTGCTTCCTGACGGACTGCATCAGTAATTGCTTCACTTACTCATACACCATCGGTTATGTGCTCTTTTTTTGTATTATCAGCGCATCTATATTTCGCTATTGATATACTTTCGGGATCCCTATGATGAGAAAAGCTTCGAAAATCTAAACAGCACAATCCCATTAGACGTTTTTGCCGGTTGAATTTTAAAACATCAGGTGCATGTGGTTCGCAGAGTTTTCGACGTGGGGAAATACCAACCACATCTCTTTTCCGTAGCAAAGGGTAAAATGGACTACCGAATTGAAGAAATGAGCATGGAGTTCCGAGTGAACTGGCCGGTCGACAGCGTATCCGAGAGGAGCAAAAGCTCCTTCACGTACAAGGAGGTTGTAATTAGAGAATCATCCAGTTCAGTTTGTAGACCTTTCAATAGCTCTTTCACCTTTCAATAGCTCTTCCAATCTATGCGTAGTACAATCATTCTCACTGATTCACTGGGTTTTTGCTTCAAAGATACTTCTTGAAAAATGGCGATGTCTTTAACAAAACGAAGATACAAATCTGACAGCAAGCCTTATTCCAATCGAGTGATGTCGTTATTCATCGCAATGCAAGAGTAAACACCTTTGGTGGGAAAATGTCGCCCCGTTTTACCACCTTATTTAGAGGTGTGATAAGAAATCGACGAAAATGCTGTCCTACATACAGTAACAGTCGGCTAGTGTTCTTATGTGAGGCAGGTCCACCCTTTCATCGATGTGATAAAAAAAAGGATAAAGCTCGCGGCGTTGATTAATCCCTCAGGGATGCGCCGTGCATTCGACTTCATTAAGCATCGTTTTGAGGTGATTGAATGCATATCTGGCTTTTAGAATGACTCGGGGTGGCCTACCGATGTCTGGAGCCAGTGCTGCGATCCTTCAAGACAAGTCTGGTACCAATTTGCCGACCTCGGAGGGATGGAAGGCCTGGTGGGCCATGGGTACTGGGATCGATCCCATGTGTGTGCTGCAGGGCGCCCGCGTTCACTCCGCCACACGCGCGTTTCGTTCACGCGAGCTGCTAGAATTACATTCGTT